AAACATGACACCAAATACCTCAGCATTTGTATCTGCTTCTTAACAGATCAAATACAGAACAGTTCACACTATGTACAGCCTCAGTGCACTTGCCCAGTGCCAAGTCCAGAAGGGAGAAGAGGACCCAGTACCCCAACCCCAGGGTAGAGATGCTTTACAAAAGGTTTACCTATTGCAGAAGGTACTATTTGGGCATGTTTCTCTAGGTACCATAATCCTGAGAGCACTGAGAGAGTACTATTTGGGCATGTTTCTCTAGGTACCATAATCCTGAGAGCACTGTGTTGCCCTTCAACAACACCCTCCATCCTCACCCTTGGCTGCAGGGCAACGCAGGAGCCAGCAACAGTCTCATTACTGACAGGGGATCCCAAATGGTCCCTCCACTGGATACACAGCCAAGGCTTTCCCAAGCACAGCCTAATGTAGATTAACTCACCTCCCCACACCTCAGCAAAGTCCAGGTCACCAAGGACAGGAGTGACCAAGCCATAAACACTCCCCTATGCTTCATTCACAGAACACCCTCCCTTCTTTATCAGGAGCATCTTTCAGTGCTCTCCCACTGACCCTACCTGCTGCTGTGTGCAAGCTTCACAGAACCAGCCCCCCTGGGTCAATAACCACAGTAAAACTCAGACTCACACGGCTGAAGTGGCCTCCTCTCCTCCAGGCGCAGCTTAATTAGGGAGCAGCCAGCGAACCACAAGTGCGCTCACAAAAGAAGCTTGCGTCTGAAGGGCTTTGACTGCAGCTTTTTGTAACTACTCACAAACATCTGGTGCCTGGCACGCTCGCCTGCCTCTTGGAAGGGGTTTCCAATGAGAAAATTCCTGTAGCTTGCACCTGAAGCCTCCAGAGTGCACCGTGCAGCACTCAGACCTCTCCCCTGGCTCCTCTAAGTGGCCAGCTTTGCAGAAAAGCCATTTCTGGCACTGGCTGCCCCTCCATTGCCCTCCCCACCCACCCCAATGCATTTTAAGCAGTGCACATGGTCCAACAGGGAACAGTTGTTCCTTTGAATGTTCATGGGTTGATAAGCGTTTTTGTTAATTCAAGTGATAGTGTCAGTTCCAGTTTTATTGGTGCAATGAAACAGGACTCACACTGGGGAGAGTCACCCCAGGGAAGAGGCAAATAAGGGTAATGTACTTCTCCCCTTCTAGTAGCCCCTTTCACATGCTTGAGTGTGCAGCCACATTCAAAAGCCAGTCTCAGAAAGACTTCCTTAAGCATCTGTTGAAGATTAAATGATCTCATGTGCAGCCTGTAATGATGGCCACTACCAAAAATGGTTCCCATCTGAAAGCTGCCCTGTGCTCCCTGATCCAAATCAGGCTGCTGACCTCAGAAGAGATCCCAGTGGGCAAATCACCACATCACAGAAGCTCAGCCCACCACAAGCACCACTAATTGTGCCCTTGTCTGAGGCACGGAAGCTACTAAAGGGCTGTAAGTCAAGGCAGCTACTAAAGGGCAGGGGAGCTGTGCTCTCAGCTTGTATTACCAAGTGACTCTCTCCTGAGCTTCTTTTCCAGTGTGTCTGGGGAGATGCTGTCCCAGTCCCTGCTGTGAGGTACCTTTTGTATGGCAAAAATCACTGCACCCCTAATATGACTCAGTTAAAGCCCATATGAATTGTCTCATTCACAAGAGCAGGCATTGGATTCAGCGCTGCCAAGTAGCCAAAGACCATCATAAGCCAAGTAACCTAAACCCAGGCCCAGCCTTTGAGCAGGAAGAAGCAACCCTGCCATGAGCATGGATGCTGTGACCCAAACTAGCCCCCAAACCAGCACACATCTACTGTCACTGCATTTCCACAAGACTCTTGAAATTACGACCAGCTCCCTGCTGTGTCTCATATTCCCCAGTGAAGGCTGCAAGTGGTAAAAGGATCTTGATGGGTAAAAGTTATGCTTCCATTTAAGAAGACCCACTAATGGCACCTTGTGCATCTGTCACTGAATTAACATCAATTTGAAACCATACATAACTGGTGAAGGGAACAGCTTGCTTACATTAGAGGTCTGGCTGAAGGGAGACCTTGGGCTTTGCTGCTCCTGGGGGTTGTGATCAGTGAACAGGAAAGCAGATACTTCCTTGTGGGTATTCACAGCTTTGCAGATAGGATCCCTTAGGCAGGTTGAGACTTCTGAGATCAATGTGGGCAAAGGGAATGGGAGACTGCAGAATAACATTGGGGGAGCAAAGGCAGTTACAGCAACCATAAAACGCACATTCACGTTCTGGAGAGCAAAGCTATGGAACAAGAGGCACAGCCTCAGGTTGTGGGGTCACTTTCACTCCCTCCCTCCCAAAGGTGCCTCTTTCTGCACCCTGCCAGGAAAAACAAAGAAACTGAATGTAAAAATGCAGCAATCTGGAGCTCCAATGCCCAAAACGTAGGTGTCTAATGCTGTTTTAGGCACTGCTGAGGGATCCAAGACATCTGCACAGGGCTGGCAGATACATCACCGGAGCCAGGGCAGGCTCCATCCCGGGATACCCCAGGGCATGGAATGCGGCACTCACGCCTACATTGGGCATCTGAACAGCTCCCCAGAGCACTGAGTGTTTGGACAGTTGGAGTTAATCATGGAAGGGAAACGGAGCTGCAGTGAGGTTTGGTAGCAGAGTGGGTAGAATGGGAAAGAGTCCGAGCACACGAAACAATCTGGCTTAGTCCGAGGGAGAAGGATGGGGAGGAGTACAGCTGCCAGCAGCTCAGAAAAGGCTTTCAAATTCCTTCTGCATCATGCTGAAGTTTAGTCATAAGTGACAACAGGGGACCCTGGGACAGCGAGATGCTGTCTGAAGGGTGTGATCTGCTGAGCTTTTAGACTCTGATGTGTTCCACATGCCTGAGCACCTCCCAGACATGTCCTCTGCACATGCTGTGCAGCCACATTATCCTCCCCATCTTGGGATGGGCATCTGGAAGTGCGGAGGGATGTTTTCAGCAGCCCACATCACAGTCTCAGGCCTGACCCCAGTTGTAAGTGGGAGTTTAAGCCCCAAACTTCCTTTCAGTGCTTTTGAAGCTGGGGGCTTGCAGGGGAGACAGGCTTCAGGTTTAGACCTCAGCTACTGGCTTAACCCTTTCACCCTGTGCCTGTCCTCCCTCCTTGGGTAAAACGAGGTATTTCTGTGCTTCCTTTGATGATGGCAACTTTTATGCAGCAATTAATTTTTCCAGTGGAGGAATAACTTAATCCTCTGAGGAGAGTGTGAGCCAGCCCCTCAAGCTTCCCATCCCTCCTGGCCCCTTTCCTCCCTTACCTCCTGCGACACAGATAGCCCCAGAGTACGGAGCAGCTCAGTGCCCTCCTTATCTCAGCCTTCCTCCTAAACACCCTGTTATAGAAAGAAAAGAAAGTAAGAAATAAGTAAATAAATGATAAATAAGTTGGTTAGAAACTTTTCCCAAGTATTCTCAGTTTTGCTGCTCCTGAGATACCAGCAAGGAGGAAATTGTGGGTCCTCGCCATGGCTTAGTTTATTCTCTAGATTGCACCTCCATCAGCAGCTTAATCAGTGCAAATCAAATTACTCCTCCTGTTTACTTATCTCCAAAGTGCTGGCACTGGCAAGCGGCTTATCTCATCATGGCAGGAGTCAGCGCCTTCCTTGGGGGTAGGACAGGAACTCCACAGAAGCCGCTTGTAGTGGGAGAAGGGGTACAAATCAGGAAAGCTCTGCTGGCTCTGCTCCCCAGCACCGATGTTACGCTGCTGCTTGCTAATGGTAGTGGGGGAAGCCAAAATGCGGGATGCCCAAGGGGTGGAGGCTGCCTCCTCCTTGTGAATGAGCAGCCTGGAAGCCGGAGTTTGCGATTTTGGCTGATTTGTAAAGAGGAGGTGGTGGTGGCCCTGTGCATTGCAGTGACATGTGGTTTGCAAGTGCGGTAGTTTGCAGAGCTGACACCGCATCCTTCATGCTGCTTCTGTGGTCAGTCCTCCCTCCTGCCTGGGAGATGAGGGCTATGTCATGGCAGAGGTGTGGGGTACAGGGACTGTGTGAACACATCCAGGAACACCTACACTCAGCGTACATTCAGCGTACAGCCAGAGCGTACACTGAGCGTGGCCCATGCTGATGCTGGGGCAGGGCATACTGTCAGCATCCAGGAGACCTGCATTTCACTCCCATGACGGAGTAAACTGGCTTCTCCCATTGCCCAGAGAAGCTGTGGCTGCCCCATCCCTGGCAGTGTTCAAGGCCAGGTTGGACACAGGGGCTTGGAGCAACCTGCTCTAGTGGAAGGTGTCCCTGCCCGTGGCAGGCGGTTGGGACTGGATGAGCTGTAAGGTTCCTTCCAACTCATTCTATGATTCTATGACTGCTTCATGCCTTAGTTCCCCCTTGGTGACAGTGTCTGCACACTGCTTTGCTATGCCCAACAGGGCAGCCTGTACAACACAGGCAGGAATATGCCTTCGTTATTCCTGCGTTTCACATCACCGGGAGCACGCTGGAGCCTAGGGCAACACCAACACGAGTCTGCCAGTGCCTGGGTAGATGAACTGAGCCTCCTCCTGCGAGTTTTATGTTGATTATGGGCCAAAAGCAGTGCTGGGTATCATAAGACACCCCGTGGGGGTCTCCCCCACCCAGCCAGGCCACCTTCACCTCTCGCAGGTCCGCTCTGTGCACCCACAGCCCCGAGGGGAATGCTGCTGTGCCAGAGCACAGCTCCCGGAGGGATAATCAGCCGAATCCCGTGTTTCCCTTGCAGTTTATGTGTCCAACCCGTACTAACCCTGCCAAGTGAAACGGGCGCCCTCCCCCGTCCGTCCCCACCCCTCCAGCACCGGGCCCGGGCGGGTCGGAGCCGGCGGCCGTGGGGCAGCCCTTGGCTGCTGTGGAGAGGGAGGGGAACGGGCGGGACGCGGGGCCGGGCCGGGGCGGAGCGGGGAACCGTCGCAGCGCCGGGAGGAAGCGGGGCTGAGTGAGGGCTGGCGCGGAGGCGCCTCACCGCCTGCTTGTTCTCCCCGCAGATCTTCCAATGGAGGCAGCTGGAGAACCTCTATTTCCGAGAGAAGAAGTTCTCTGTGGAGGTGCACGACCCGCGCAGGTGAGCGCCGAGACGGGACGAGAAGGGATAAGCGGTGCGGAGACGGGACGAGCGGTGCCGAGCCGGGCTAAACCGGACTGAGCCATTCCGAGGCGGGCTTTGCAGTGCCGAGCTATTCCCAGAAGGGCTAAGCCATGCCGAGCCAGGATGAGCCCTCTCGAGCTATTCCGTGCAGGGCTGAGCCGTGCCGAGCCATTCCGAGCCGGGCTTTGCAGTGCGGAGCCGGCTCTTGCCGAGCCATGTCGTGCCGAGCCGCGCTCCCCACGCTGCTGTGCGGCGCTGGCTGCGCTCCGTAACCGGGGAACCCCTAATGAAGAAGCAGCGGGCACCAAGCCGCGGGCTGCCCAGCGGGGCACTAAGGGTTCGGGTGGGTGTTTTCCAGGATGTGTATTCCCTGTGCTCCCAGCGGTATTTGTTTTCCCTCTGTTTTGGCTGCGGGCACCCCCATACATGCAGGGGGGAGTTGCCTTGTCCCCGTGTTGCACTTGGAGCCCGGAGATGGGCGCCAGATCTCGTACTCACATGTTTCCTTGTAAATAAATATTCAGTAGTGCAACTGAAAGGAATGGCACGGTACCAGGGCTTTACCGGCTGGCTGGATGGGAGCCCATCAGTCTTTTTGGCACGGGGGCCTTTCTTTTCCCTTGCTTTACAAACGTAACGCGGCAGAGAGCGAGTTCCAGTGACTGCTACATCTAATCGAGTGCATTCTGCACCCTCTGCTCGTGTGTGCTAGTGGATGGTGACTGCAGTGACTCGTGTGTGTGTGTGTTGCTTTGTAGGTTGTTCTCACTAAAAGCAATGTCCCGCTTGCAAACTGAGTATGAATCGCTCAGCTGTGAGCCTGTTTCACCTGTTTGCCATGCCTATCTGTCTGCTAATGCATGTACTTTTATTGGGAGAATTTTGCATGCAGTTTCTATGCTTATTTGCCCTGATAGAACACAACACACCAGTCCAACGGTGCCTGTCTCCATAGGTGCATTCTGTTAAAGCAGTAACTGAGCGAGCAGCTCTGATCTTGTGCAGCTCCAGGTCAGCAGAGCCTTGAGGCATCTGCTTAATTTTAAGCATGTAAATAGTAGTGTGAAACCAAGCAGAGCAAAGCTGAGAATACGCTGGGAGAGCTTCCAGCCACAGGACCTGCGGGTGCCGCACTCCTTCCCCACCAAACATCTGAAACTCATGCTGCAAGCCACAGGCAGCAAGAAGCCCCTCAGCATCTAGGCTGGCTCTTTCCTGGGAGCAGCAATCATAGAATCGTAAGATGGTTTGGGTTGGAAGGGATCTTAAAGCTCCTCCAGCTCCAACCCCTGCCACAGTCAGGGACACCTTCCACTAGAGCAGGTTGCTCCAAGCCCCTGTGTCCAACCTGGCCTTGAACACTGCCAGGGATGGGGCAACCACAGCTTCTCTGGGCACCCTGTGCCAGCGCCTCAGCACCCTCACAGGGAAGAGCTTCTGCCTAAGAGCTCATCTCAGTCTCCCCTCTGGCAGGTTAAAGCCATTCCCCTTTGTGCTCTTCCTGCATGCCCTTGTAAAACGTCCCTCTCCAGATTTACCCCTTTAGATATTGAAAAACTATTATAAGGCAAGGAAATAGTTATAATCACAAGGGAAAGAAACCACATAGCTCTGGGATCTCAGAATCATGATCTTTGCAACTCAGTGTCATGCATGAAATGTGACCACACAGAGGACCCTTCTCTGTGTTGTTTGTATTTAAATGATGGGAATTACTGACACAGAAGAGCTTCTGTTCATCATTTCATTGTGTTCAACACCAGGAGGACAAAACCCCATCCCAGGTTGTCAGCCTGGTACTTCCTCGCTACAAGGAAATGAATGTGGCTGGTTTCTGTACCCACAGAGTACCACCACCAGGGTCAAGACGGTGCTCTGTAAAGCAGCGCAGCACATTGCAGTTACATGGTGGGAACACAACTCTGGTTGTAGTCTCCTGGCCAAGCGGGATGGCCTTCTGCAAGGAGCTGTTTGGTATGTGGAGCTGGAGGAGCAGCCAACACAGTGCTCTCTCCACATTCCTCTCCATGTAGCCAAACCAGAGCCTGAGTCAGCGAAGCCACAGTCACAGGAGAGCAAGCAGTGCTCCATGGTTGTGGCCAGGGCTGGGCAGCACAATGTGTGTTTGTAAGCCCTGCCTGTGCCCGTGGCTTCCTGTCCTGAACAAGCCATTTAACGTCTCTGCATCGTGGTTGCTTATCCCATAAAAGAGGGAAATTATACATTTTAGGGGGTATCAGCAGGGTTAATTCCATAGGGGCATGCAGGGGAGCCATGGAGAAGAACACCTACGGGCCATGTCTCACAGGTCCCCAAAAGATAGCTGTGAAAAGCAAGTCCACAGCTCTGACCAGCTAAGTCTGCATTCTTTCTAACCGGGCTGCAGATTGATAGGAAGCATGTACAGATCCCCAAAAGAAAAATGATTGGAAATTACTGTTTTTAAAATGAGAAGATGAATGACTTGCAGAGAATGTTTGTGTGAGTTCAAAATGGGTAACAGCATTTGAACTGAATAGGATGACACCAGAATTAAGGCTTTAGCTCATGTCCAAGTGCCTTAATGCCTTAAAGCCTGATACACTGTGGTAGTTTATGGCCCTTAAACCAACATAAAGCATCCACAGTTGGATCCCATTTCCAGCTCCGTGCAGAGCAGCACACGCCCTCATTAGGACCATCAGCTGAGGTCCTGCTGCATCTGTAGAGAGCTTTCTCACAAGAACACTGCTCATAATGGGACCAGGTCTTCTGCTCCAGCCACACGGAAAGGACTCAGCACAGGGTAACACTGAAACATGAGATCCCAGCGGTTTCAGGCCTTGTTTGCATTGGCCGTGGCTGTTTTCTCAGAGATACTTCACTCCAATTTGTAGCTTTGCAATTGGACTGTAACGCATTTTGCAGCACTGAGAAGGCTCTGACACAAGAGCTGTCAGCCCTCACCCAGGCTGAAGTTCCCACTTTGCTGCAGAGCTTTGCTTTGCTTTGCTTTCACTCTTGCCTCTCTCACCACTTTCTTTGACCATAGGCCTCCCCATACTCTACTACAAGGCAGTAGCCCACAGACACAAGAGAAGAGGTGGCCAGTGCAGGTACAGGAGAGAAACCACTGTCTTAGCAAAGCTTGAGGACTTCTAAGTGCTGGTAAAAGAGTTGGCCATCCCTTGCAGTCCACAGTAGAACTCCTGGGCTGTCCTGCAGTGTCACCTCCACATCTGCATTGCACAGAATGCTGCTGGCTATGGATTGTGGCAGCCCCTCCACAGCACATCCTGCACTGGCCTGTCTACACCATCCATGTGCCTGTGTTACAGGCTGTAACAGAAGTGCCATGTTTCTGAGCTAGCCTCTATACCCATTCTCACATCATAATCGTACTCCACCACAACTCTTCTTAACAGACTGGAGAGGAGGACCTCATGTATCTGGGGCTCTGTAGGTTGGTGGCTTGGTTTACTCCAGCCAGTGCTGCATCCCTGCAGTGGAAGGAGTTCTGCAACCAGGACACTGTGTGGGGGGGTGTCAGCGGCTGGAGCTGAGGGTGGGAAGGAATACTCAAGCAGTTCTGTACAGCTGTGCAAGCATGGGGAAGCCTAACCTGTTCCTTTTGCTAATGATTGAGGACAATTGGGAGTCACAGAGAGGAAGCATTTGGTTCTTATTTTTCCTGGGTTTATATTCACTCAGCTAATTGCTGAGTCACATTCTTCTCTCCAGGGCACAAAGCAGCCCTCTCCAAGCCCCACAGCTCCCCTTTCCCATTACACCTTGGCAAGTCCTGCTACATCTGTTTACAGCTGAGGAAATAAAGGTATTTTAAGAGCTTCTCCCACATTCCCTAAAGCAGCCATTGATCCAATGGATCTTTAGTTGTCACCTGGGTCCTAATATATGACAGCCACTGTCCAAAGCTAGAAGTAGTGGAGGGTGTGAGGACTTTGCCTTGGCTGTCTCAGCGATTGAAGAGACACACAGGATTCACACACACTTTGGCACTGGTGACTCCCCTGGGACACATAGCAGGTCAGCATCAGCTCAGCCAAACCCAGGAATACAGTCTGAACTGGATTTTTAGTCCTGTTAGCTCCTCTGGAGCTTGCTAACTTGAGGAGTTATTTAGAGTAAATGCTTTCCTGGCTGATTGGCTCTTTACTGCTGTTCTCTTAAGCATTTTTTTCCCATTAGCATAAGGGTGTGCACAGTAAAGACAGCAGCTTTTACTATTAGGCCTGTGGTAGGTTTTGCTGTAGAAAACAACCTGAAGAAACCTTGGAATAACCCCAGTTAAATCTTTTCACTCCAGGGCATCTGTGACCAGGAGGACTTTTGGGCATAGTGGCATTGCTGTGCATACGTGGTACGCCTGTCCAGCACTAATAAAGTCTATCTGGGCTATGGCCATTAGTCAACATCAGTTCTACCTGGACAGAAAGCAAAGCAAGGTAAGCATGGTGGAGGTGGGAAGTGCATGTTGTGGTGGGTGAGTCCTTCTCAAGTCCTCCCAGTCACAGCAAGGCCAAGTCCAGATGGTGACTCCTTTCCTGCCCTCCCATTCCACTTGAGGTCAAAAAAATGGGCAGATTAACTCAAAATATCTACTGGCTTTGGCCAGATTGAGGGAATTTGTATCAGATCCATGTCTATGGGAGTGAGGATTGAGGGAAAGGTTGTACTGAACTGTGGCCAAAACGGAGGAGACAACGTTTATAAGCAGATAGGGTCACATCCCTGTCTGGATGGTTTCCACGTCTTCTGTACTTGAAGTCTGTCATAAAGTTGGGGCAGCTTCCAATAACTGAGTTTAAAGTAGCTTCACACTCTGTACCTGTGTCTGAATCTGTCCCTTGCTTTCTACTGTTGTATTTCCTAGAAATGAGGGCTAGAGGTATTATTTCTCTCTCCACATAGAATATCACAACAGCAGGGGGGCAGGTTCTGACATCCTGGCCTTAAAAGAAACTGTCTCAATCTGGTGCTGCACAAAGGGCAGCTCAATACACAAAAGAAACCACCTTGAAACCAGAGGAGTGTGTGTTCTTCCTCTAATTCCTTTCATCAGCAGGAACTTTAGGCATACCCAGAACAGCAGGAGATTGCTTTGATGACTTTGAGAACACTTTGAGGCAGAAGAGAGACTTCTCATGCAGACAGCCCTCTCCACATGAGCCTGCTGGTGTTTAACTTTACAGAGAGGTGACTCAGTACAGAGTCTGTATTGAATGAGCACTTTCTTATACAGCTGCCTGCATTGTTCCCCATCCCTGTGAGATGGCAGGTCCTCCAAATGGCTGAAACAGTCTTAACATCATGCTACTCCTGAAAGCACTGCCTGCATTTTCAGGCAGGGGCTGCTCCCTCCCTTGCACAGCCCATGGACATATGAGGTCCCTTCATGATCCAGTTCAGACCACTAAACTGGCAGAAAAATACTTCCTATTTTTTATTTGCTGCATTATTTTTCTGCCAGTTCAATGTTTTGGCTTGCTGAAAGTACATGAAGGGCCATCAGTGTGCTATTAGTCCAGCTCACTCTAAACCGTCTGACATTGCTTTCCCATCATGATCTCTGTGACTTTATTGAGTGGACAGTACTTTTGGGTGCCTTGGGCAGCACACACGGTTACACTCACTTTGGCCATATACCATTTCATGCAAAGAAACAGGATTCTTCATAGTTGCTGTGAGCTGTATGGAATTTAGGGGCCTAGATAACTTCCCACCCCTAAGTGCCAGTTATGACTATGAACAAAATGCACCCTACACCAAGTACCACTTTCCTGTCCCCCTCCTCTGCACCAGGGCAGTGCACAGCCCTCTCTGTTGTGCTCTCAACAAAACCAGCTCAGCAAACAAACACAACTTTATATTTTTCTGTGCTTTTAGCCAGCTGGATTTGCTGATCTAACTGCAAGGTATTTAGGTCACAAGCAACCCACAAACAAAAGGAGATTCCCTCCTCCTCCCACTTCTTTGCTAAGAAACTGGGTCTCTTAAATGCCCAGCACTTCCCATCAGTGGCTCCTTTTGTTGTTGGCAGATTGTGTTTCAATCTGATCTCCCCTCTCTCACACTCCTACAGACAGCACCATCCACCAGCCCCCATTTGTCAGCCTGTCACATCTGCCATCGTCTCAGTGTGCTTTGTCACAATAATGCCAGTGGTCATGCTGAGGCTTTGAAATGAAGGCCTACGAAATATCTGTGTCCCTTTCTCTTAAGGGAGCTGGTATTTTACTCTGTTGTCCTTGTCTTTGACGTGACACTATCGAGATTGATAGATCCATCAATTTGAATTGATCAGTTCATCCTGCTGGTCACTCCAGGACACAGTACTCATGTGTGCTTTGCTTTTTGAAACCATGAAACAGAGTGGGGTGTTGTGAAATGTCTTCATTTCGGCTCTCAAGGGCTTAAGACAAACATTTATTTGAGTTTCGGGTTGCATGGGCTTGCATCCCCTTAAATCTCAGGCCCCACTTCAGCTGAATCCCCAACTTCAAAGCAAAACTTAGATATTCCTTTCTTTTATGTCCAAACTTGCCATTTCATATAGTTTTGACAAAAGAAAGAATAGTGAAAACAGACTTAGAAGAAAAAGCCTGCTGGAGCTCACTGCATCTGACCCTTCACTCTAGGGATGGAGGTTAAGTGGCAGGAGATACAAAGCAGTGATAAAGCAAGCTTGAACTCTGTGCTCCTCATGTAACAGGGCATCAGTTGGATCTGCACCGTTCCACTGGACAACCCCATTAATGTGGTTTTAGAAAGAAATAAAACCAGGCTTGCCTGGATTTTGACCATTTTGCAAGGAAATGAGGTCCCAGCCTTTCTTGCAGCCCCACTTCCCACTGAACTCCTGCCAGCTTACCCATTTCCCAGCATCTCCTCCCTGCTGATCTGTCTCTCCCTGCAACCAAAGCGTAATGTGGAGACTGAGAAGGTGCCCACAGTTAACATGTCAGTGTGCAGAACACCTGTCAGCTTCCCTTGTTTTCCAGAAGAGAGATGCAGCAGGACTTCAGGGCATGTCTTTGCTCCATTGACTGCACTAAGTCGAACATTTGGCTTAGAAGGCTTGAGAAGTCCCATTTTGTGGGAATTTCCAACAGCATGTTCATCCAAGTGTGAGGCTTTTTGGCTGAGTGGACCAGTAGAGAATAGGCCAAGGGTTTCAAAATATCACCTGCATCAAAGCCCCATCACTGCAGGCAAGAGGGATAATGCTCATCCTCCTGCAGCTGTGGAAGGAGCAGGGACACTGAGCTCTTGGTGAGCCCTTGGTGAGCCCCAGCACCCCAGCAAGTGAGACCCATCCTGGACAGGGCCAAAGAGCCAGGAGGGCCTCCAGCTCCAGTGTCTTGGCTGCCTTCCTGCCCCCATTGTTGCCTGTTTTTCTCATCGGTGGCATGATTTAGCGTGAGGTGGGAGGGGGGTTGGAACCAGATGATCTTAAGGTTCTTTCTAACCCTAACTATTCTAGGATTCTATAAATCCATCCCCAGTGTCCATCTACTCTTGCATTTCACTGATGGATTCATCTTCACCCTCTGACCTTGTCAGAACAACACAGGGGATCGGCTTGGCCCCATGCTTTGAAATAACTCATGAATGAGCCAGTATCCCTCCATGGAAATGAGACTTGGCAGGTCTGTGCTAAGTGCTTGAAAGGTTCTGAGCCTGGAGGGACTGCAGGGCCCGAGGGAGCGCTAATGGGATGTAATCTAGCTTTCCACTATTGTGCTGTCAGTACAGAGTCTAGCCAAGACCTTGTGCTGGCTGCTGCTCAGTGGCCTGTATGAAATGAGCTGTTGGTCTGATTCCTGCCTCTGATGAGCAGCTGGCCAAAGCACAAGACCACCCGATGCTGATGGGCATTGCTGTAGGGAGCAGAGGCAGCAGGGACTGAGCAGCATGGGAAATTAACCCCATTCCTTTCAGGAGATGTTCCATTCCCACTGTTTAGTGCAGGGCACTCTTGGCACAACTGCAGTCAGATCTAAAACCTTCTCCTATGGCTGCAGCAGGTTTCATAGAATGATAGAATGGTTTGGATTGGAAGGTACCTTCAAAGCTCATCTACTCCAGTCCCCTGCAATGAGCAGGGACATCTTCAACTACATCAGGTTGCCCAGGATCACATCCAGCCTGGCTTTGAATGTGTCGGGGATGGTGCATCAGCCACCTCTCTGGGCAACCTGTGCCAGTGTTTCACCACCCTCATTGTAAAGAATTTCTTCCTCACATCCAGCCTGAATCTCCTCTGTTTTAGTTTAAAACCACCACCCCTCATTCTACTGCAACAGGCATGGCTAAAAAGTCTCCCCCCATCTTTCCTGTAGCCCCCTTTTAAGCACTGAAAGGCCACAGTAAGGTCTCCCTGGAGTCTTCTCTTTAGATTGTATCCTCCGTGGAGGAATCTCACTCTGCCCTGCTGATCCCTGCTCTTTGGTTTGGTTTTCCTCTCTCCTGGCTCAAGGGATGCCAGGCTATGGTGTTGTTTCATGTTTTCATTTGCCCTGTGTAGGGCACACATCCAGGCAGTGCTGGCTTGGCTCATCAGCCATGACCACAGGAGCTGCATTGCCTTTGCTCAGCACTTTTAGCTGGTGCCTGGTCAAACAGGTAGTGCCAGAGCGTGCTGTAATTTGCAGTCTGAATATGAGTGGAAACAAACTATAGGGCTTCTTGCTGTAACTTTCCTGTAAATACAGGAAAACCACTGCCTTGCAGGATCGGTCTGTGCAGACTTGGGATTTGCACCTTTCCTAGACATCACTGCAAGGACTCAGGATATTGGGTTAGGCAGATACTGGGTTCGATCAGTTATGGCTGTTCCTGGGGTTATCCAAGGTATGCATAACCCTGCATTTATCACCTGCAGGGGATAAATCAGCAGGACAGCAGCACTCTGAAGACTTGTTATTTCCAAAGATGTGGCATTGCAGCAAGACAGCAGTTCATGCTCAGGCTCCTCATTGAGATTTGAGTAGCAGGAAATCTCATGTTAAAAAGCAGTGATTTTCCTCTTCACCTAGCACTAACCTTCCAGAGCTATTTGGAGAACATATTTCACAGACCTTGTTTCTGACCAGAAACATCAGGTTCAAGAAGCTAAAAGAGTGTTATCCTTCTCCTGGGGCTGATTTTGGGAAGGAGCAGTTGGAAACGAGAAGTGTCTAGCTGTCTAGTTGTAGCATTAGTGTAAGAGGGTCAGAACTGGTTGCCTGATCTGCTCTGACATCTTGGCAAGTAGTTAAGCCTCTGCACTCAAATGAGTTAGTGCACACACTCGGTTCTTGGCGTTATTGTGGAAATAAGCTTGTGAGGCACTTGGATACCTCTGAATGGTAATGATGGAGCGTATAGATACCCAAGAGTATTAAATGATGATAATACTTCTGAGGGTATTTTCAGTGTAAGGCTTTCCCAGTGCTGTCTTCATTTGCAGTCTTAATCTTAAAAATACAGTGTGCAGCAGGGAGGCATTTTACTTTCCTTGTTACTTCAGTGATGTGCAGACAGAGGCACAGGATCACTAAGAACTTAACCTTAAGTGTCTTACCCAAAGCATCACAACAGATCATTGGCAGAGCTAAGTGCAAAGCTCAGTTTGGTGAGCATTAAGCCATCAGTTCAGCCTTAGTTCTTGTTAAACTGATTCCTGCTCCTGAAGATGTGAAACACTGAAAATCCCACCATGGCAAGCGTTCCTTCTAGTCCCATCTTATATTAGGCCCAGTGGGAACAGATCACACGCTGGTATGTGGATGTCAGTCAGCTTCTGATTTGTTAGCACTGTAATGACGAACTGTATGAATGAACTGAGAGTCTCTTCTGGCCTGAGAAGGTGCAGAGGTGAACGTTCAGGTGAGGCCCTGTGAGGCCAGGGTAACTGAAGCTCAGCAGCATGGGGCTTGCAAGATTTGGGCAGTGGGTTGAGTTCCAGGCTCCCTGCATTTGTAACTGAGGAGCAGACATGAGGGTCAGCAAACAAGCAGCTGATTTCCAGGCTGGAGATGAAATAGCAGTGATTTTTGTGTGCCATGTTACAGACAGTGAGCTTCTTCCTGACTGTCAGTTCCCCCCTTGTTAGCATGGCTTGTTACCTGAAGCAAATTCAGTAAGCAGTACATAAAATAGGGCTCACAGCATAAGCATTAGTTCAGAATTGAAGTGCTTGGAGATGACCCCAGTGAGAAACAAAATGGAGGACTGGAGAGGATTGTTCTGATGTGGCACTTGCCATTTTTAGGTGACCCTAAGGCCCTACTGGTCAGAAAAAGGACTGAAAAATACCCATGGCCACCCAGGACACCCTCACATGTAGGGTTCTTCCCAATAGTGCTAGGGATATACCTGAATGTTCTTAGTCCTTTTGTCTATGTTAAGCACTTGCTAGAGGCTGGAAAATGGATTGCAGATAGATGGTGAGCTACTAACAGCAGCGTTTGTATTGCAGAGGCAAGGCAGCCACTGGGACTGAGTGAGCCCAACCCTGCAAGCAGCCACCATGCCCATTTCATTGCTCAGTGCCACTCTAACCCCCATGCCCTGAATGTTTTCTGCCTTCAATGGCTCTGTGTGCATAAACACATCTGAGCTCACTGCTCAGTGAAGAGAATGTTCTGGAGTGATCTCACCTGAACTTTCTGGGCATCTTGTTTTCTCAAATCCTTCCATCACCAATGGAGAAAGGATGACATCTTAGGAAGTCAACTCATTCCCTCCTAAGATACAAAGAGGATGAGATGATCACTGGAGGTCCCTTCCAGCTGAAATCTCTTCTCTTCCTCTCTTCTCTCTTCTCTCTTCTCTCTTCTCATTTACACATTATGCATGTTTACTTTCCCCTGGAGGTGTCCAGATAGGTGACAGTTGGTAGTGTACCCTGGGTGACTCCTTTCCCTAGTGTGACCAGTTACTGAGCTGGGACTGGGTCTTGTTTCTTGCTGAAGTAATGTTAATGCTTTGGAAAGGTCCTCACGGTAGGGGCAGCTTGTTAGTCTGGGCCATAATCTGAACACATTTTCCTGCCAGTATTTTCTTCCATCTTCTCATGACAGCCCCTTTAAGTCATGTCCCCACCATGTCTTGGTCCAAAACAGATTTGGAAATGCCCCTCCTGTGCTCTTTTAGGTGCTAGAGATGGTCTGTAGCCTTCGGGCATTGCAGGTTGGCATTTCTGAAGGTTTCTTATTGTATGTGGTAACACAGTGAATCCATACCTAGTTTGTTTAAGAGGGAAAAATGTGCATGGCAAAGCAGAGAAAATAAACAACAGGAAACAATGCCAGAATTGTACCCACTGAAGAATGTAAAAAGTGCAGCAGTGAATCCCGTGCCAGATTGCTTCTATTCTTGTAAAAGTATCCAAGTTTGCTCTGGAGGCCTGTTTCCTGCCACAGCAAAAAGACTTTTTCCTTCTGTGAGCTTCAGAGAAGCAGTTTTTAATAGCTCATTACTAACTCCTGTGTCCATGTCCAGTCCAAGATTCATGCTGCAAGAAGCCTGAGCGAAATTGCGATTGACCTGACTGAAACTGGAACACTCAAGACCTCAAAGCTGGCCAACATGGGGAGTAAAGGCAAGATTATCAGTGGTAGCAGCGGGAGTCTTCTGTCATCAGGTAGGTCCTTTATCCTGTAACTGGAGAGACTATGGTGGAAGGGCCATGGCCATGGTGTGATGGGGAGCTGCACTGCAGAAATGAAAGTCACTTCCCTTTAGCCTTTCTGTCTATTCAGGTGTCTGTCTCTCAGCACATTCCTCCACAAACAGCACAAGCAGCAGCCTCCCCTTCTGTCATTACCACCACTCATTTCCTCTTTGGCCCCAGGATGTCATCTCCAACCTCTCACTTTCCAGCTGAGACCATGTCTGCCTTCACAGTTTCTACCATAATCACCCCTTGGCATCCAGTTCACCCCTAGGCAGACGTGTTTGTGAAGGAGTCCCCAGCCAGCCAGTGGGAAGCTGAAGCTGGAAATTGCTGATGTCCCTCAGCAGTGTTGGGGCAGGGTGGCTTCTTCACAGAGTGCACATCTGCTTTGCTTGTCTATTGCTGAAGTTTGGCTGAGGTCCCAGGCTCCAAAGAGCTATTTCCTAGCACTCTCTACCAAACTAGTAGGTTTCTTTTTGTGGCTTAGAGCACCTTCCTGTATGAGGAATAAATAATCTGTGAAAGAAACCCCAGAGAAGTTGATACAGAGGAGAACTAGTGCATAGAAGAAGAGAAGGACCAGAAAAGGGGATTCAGGAGGTTTTATCTCATTGATACTCTTACATCAGCCTGAACCAGGCAAGCTGTGTGTAAAACAGTGCTAAATGTCACTCCAGGAGCAAAGCAAGGATTGATAGTTTGCAAAGAGCCTGAAGCTGCTCAGGTGAGCAGCTCTTCAGGAGGGCAAGGTTGCTGGTATCCCTGTAATTAGCAGTTTCAGTCAATTAAATGCCTTCTGTTAAGCATCACATCAAGTTAGCAAAACTGTGTTGAGGTGTGTAACAGTAGAGAATAACCGTGCTTGACAAAGGGAAGAGTCTATCTAAGAACACCGATGCTTTAAAACTGAACCCACACTGGTGTAGCCATCAGCTTTGCACCACTGTATCCTTCCTGTCTCTTAAAACCCGCACTTTCCTGCTTGGAAAATACCCAGCAAGGGGTTAAAATGTTCAGTGTTTACAGAGCTCTGAGCAGCCTGCTGTGCCTTCCTTGCCTTGCCTGCAAACAGAGATGCCTTTCTGCTCCTCAGTCTTCCTGACAAAGCACACAATCCACCGTCTGTGCCTCCCATCGCTCAGGGAGCTGCAGTAGCTGAGAGCTCCCAGACCGGTGTCAGGTTGTCAGAGCTCTTTATTTGTTTGGCATTTTTTCCAGCTCTCCTGCTGGAAAGTAAATAACGTGAAGTGCCCCAAGGAAGTTCTTTAGGTCTTTTCAAGACCGAAGCCTCCTGGGCACCATTCCTAAGTTTGTGAGAGCTACTTGGTAGTAATCCTGTTTTCATGTTGATACGCTGACTTTTGGCCGTCATGGAAAGAAGCATGGGGGTCTGTTTCTGCTCTCACACACAGAGAGAACACTAGCCAGGTGAAAGCCAGCAGAAAATTAGGCCCAGGAAAGCTTCAGCACCTCTCAGGGTTATGTAGATGGAAATCCCACACTGGGAGCTGCCCATGCTTTGATTTCTGCATTGTTTTTTGCTCCCTTCTGTCTGAACGTGGGGTTTGTAGACTCAGCAGAGCTGCAGTAGTGGCTAGACCCATGCAGAGTTCATTCACCAGGTGAGTCATTTCTTCAGGCCTGGGTAGGTGGATCTGTCTGCCTGAGGGCCCGTGCAGGGCTATGTGAACCTCTCTTTCAGTGCCGCTGGTGGGCCAGGAGCATAGCTCCCTCCAGATCCCTGTGTTCAGACCTGCCTTTTATATCCTACTAGCTGGGAGGACAGGGCTCTCCCCGAAACATTAAGGAGAGCTGTGGGGTTTGCTGTGTGCCTTCCAGCAGCTGTGAGCAGCTGCCAGGAAGTAGGGAGAGAAGACATCTGACAAAGATTCCAGACAGATACCATAGAATTGGAGACCCTGGACTGCTTCCAGTCACCCTCTGCTCCAAAAGCCCCTTCCCTCATCCCAGCTGGCAGAGGTAACCTAGCCCTGTCCCACTGCATGGGAGGGGCCATTCACTGCCTGTCCCACTGGACATAGTCACTGGCTCCATCCCAACCTTTGCATTTCCTCCCATTGTGCCAGAGATTATCGGCATACAGTCACAACAATGATGGGTTATCGTGGTCCAGCCTGCGTGCTGGAGAGAATAAGTGCAAATGATTAAGTGGCCACAGTAGATTTCCAGGCTATAAATACCCTGAGTGACTTGCAATCACAAGGGCAGGACTGAATGTTTGCCCCCACTTCCCTACTGTTCTCAGTCCTTTTTTTCCTGGAAATTACTTGTAGTCATTTCCTCTCAGCATCTCAGTCCTCCTCACTGGAGGGGCTGTCAGCACCATGAGGAGTGTGCTGAAACTGGCATGGGGTTGGAGCAAGGCTGCAAGGAAAATCTGTTGTGGCTGTCACACTGTCTGGTGAAGATCCTGCAGTGCAGGGTGAGGCACTCACTGCCCCACATCACTTACAGCCTCAAGACACAGTGGGGGAAGATGGAGTTTTACACTGGGACAGTGGTCACAGCAGTTTAGGGCCAAAGCCTGAACTCCATGTTTCACAGGCCCTTGGTCTCAGTCTCTGTCCAGTGCAGAGTTGTAATTGAGGTAACTGGTGCTCCCAGGTACATTTCTGACAAGCTGACTCCTTAACTTCTGTCCTCATTTTGGCTTTGAAGGGGACTCCCAGAACAGTGAGCTGCTGTGATTTAGCTCAGGGATCTGCTCAGGACCTCTGGGACATCCCTGGGCATCTGGGGCAAGGTTTGCCCCTGAATAAAAGCTCTACTTTCACAGTGGCAGGAACCTTCATCAGAGATAACTATCAGAACAAAATCAAGTCAGGCCTAAGGTGGGTTTTTCCTTTGGAGCAGTCTGTGCCATAAGAACTCTGGAGGGCTCCTGGCCAGTGATGAGCCCCTCTGTCACTGTTGTTCTGAACACCAGACTACCTTCTTCATCCCAGAGATGTCACAGAGGAACACCTGTGCTTCAGCTCTGCAGCAGTGCTCAAGCATCCTCTGTCTCAGTGACTCCCATTCCTTCAGCAGCCGTGGAGGTTTCGGGCTCGGGGACCTGTTTACATGTGAAATGCCACAACAGAGCCCAGGCAGCTGGTTCTCCATCCAGAAGGGTTGTATCCCAGCTGGATCAGCTGGCGGGTGCCAGAGCAGATGAACAGCCCTTGCATGGCCCGTGAGCACGGGGGGCCATGAAGACAAGTCTCCCACAGGATATGTGAGTGCATCCTGTGTGGAGCAGCTCCAGCTGGAGGATATCCTATGTGTCAGGCCGAGACTAGAGATAGCGGCTGTCTGAGGTTACTGGCTGTTGTGTGCTGACATCCTGGCTTGGTGAGTCAGCCCGGGCTCTGGCACCGAGCAAGCGTGGGGGGACCTTTCCTCTCTGCTCAGGGGACAGCCATGCATAGGGGACATCAGCCAAGTGCCAGCAAGCCAGAGCCAGCAGCCAGATGTAGCGTGAAGCGTTTGCCATATTTAGATATGTTTTTCCTGGAGAGGGAAGCTCATAAAATAAGGAATAGAATCATAGAATCATCTGGGTTGGAAAAGAACTTTAAGATCATCAAGTTCAACCATTACCTCAGCACTGCCAAGGCCACCACTAACCCATGTCACTGAGGGCCTCATCTACATGGTTTGTGAACACTTCCAGGGACAGTGACTCCATTACTGCTTGGGCAGCCTGTTCCAATGCCTGACAATCCTTTCAGTGAAGAAACTTTTCCTAATAAAATAGATGCCTGGATGCTTTTGCCTTGCTGCTGCTCAGCCACCTTGTTGCATTTGATAGGACAAGAGGAAATGGCCTCAAGCTGCACCTGGGGAGGTTTAGGCTGGTTATTAGAGCCTTGGCTCCCTCTGCTCTTCAGCATTCCATCTATCCTCCCTGCTTGTTTTCATCCTTCTCACATATACCTTTTCCAAGCTGACATCACTGTGCTACAATAGGTGGAGGAAATAGGGACAACCAGTGAGTCACTGGTAGGGTTTTCCTCTCCAAATGGTGGTTCATATTGGTGGCCTCATCCCTTTGACAAGCTTTGAGGCAAAGCTTTACCAAATGACAGCTGGTGGCCACGGCCCCCTGCAGATCTGCACAGCACATTGCTTTGGTCAGATCTTTTGAAGTGTGGCTCACTTCATGTTCCCATCAACATCACCAAGACCATCCTGACCTCAGCAGTATTGGAGTGATCAGAAACCAGCACATTAGCACTGGTGAAGAAGCTCAGCCATTCATTCTTCTGAGTTGGACAAGGGAGGACCATGTTCTCCCTCTGTTTCACAGCTCATGTTCTCCTCACTGTCAGTGGGTGGAGAAACAGCCCAGAGACATCATCAAGTGGGTATCAGAAGATGAGCAGTGTATCCACAGACTAATAGGGTACTAAGTGAATGTTCAGGTCACTGAGCCCTATGTCCCACCCTGTATGGAAAGGAGGAAAGGGAATGTACAATTAACTTGGCTTTGAAATTAAACCAGTAACATCAGCTATAAAACCAGCACCAGCTCAGCAGATTCCTGCTGAGAGAAGGTCCTGTGCTTGCTACCTGGTGTGTTTTCACAACCCTTTTTCTTTTAGGGACATCAAATGGTTCTGCAGAAACTTGTGTTAAAATGCAGTTTGGTAAATCTTTGCACAGCAAATGGGAAGGAGGCTCAGTAATAATTGTCACAGAAAGGTTCAAAAGCTATACAGAGAAACTGCACATTTTAGCAACGTTTCTCCTGGAATTCTCCATTAGGAATCAGCCTTAATTGTAGGAGATAAAATACCTGAGAAAGCCTCCCAGTCAACCATCTCTGTTGCAGCAGGAGTCTCGTGTTAGGACGGATCTTTCAGGAGTGGTTTTTCTCTGTTGATGATCCCTTTTGGAAGACACTGGGCAGCCATGACTCAGTGAGCATCATATTTAATAGGGCTGATTTAAGGTAGTATTTGCTTGATTGGTTTGGTTTGTGCTGGTCTTTGATTATTTCTCTGGTTGTTTTTTATGGCCTTTTGATTTGTTCTGACATTTTCGGGTCAGTTGCCAGTGGCTTTAGAAGTAGGTCTGTGGTGACAACCTTGCTCGAGGCTGGATTAATACATATTTATAACTAAAGAGCCTCTAATGGAAGCTGTAGGCAGCCCAGCAATATAAAGCACTATTCTCTGCTCACTTACAAACATCTCACGGTGGTATGAGTCTCTTGACTGATCAGGTCTCCCATTTGCTTTTCACCTGTGAGAACAAGCAGAGAATCCAACACAGAAATCAAATAGTACACCCCAAAATAGTTCAGCTTTTAAAGAAAAGGTAATATATGAAGAAACCCCAAACAGATAGAACAGTTTCTGAAGGAGAAACTTCAGGAAAGTCTGAAGAACTCCTGCAGTATGCCCAAGAGATTGTCCAAGTCAGCTATGCTCAAGCTAAAAAACTTCAGGATCACAAGCCATGAACTGAGTGCCTTTGAACCCTCACTGCACTAGAAGAGTTCATGATACAAAGACACACTTGGAAAAGGTCAATTTGAACTGGTTTAGTGGTGGTTCTGGCAGTCTTGGGGTGATGGTTGGACTTAGGAATCTTAAAGGTCTTTTCCAACCTATCTGATTCTATGATTAATGCCAAGGAGGGGTTGAGTTTGATTTCAGCAGTAATCCCAATGCTTAACTCAGAATGTGACGATGAGCTTCCAGATCTCCCCGGTTCCTTGCTTTCTGGAAGGGGTAAAAAGATGGCCAGATGTGCTCTCGGTGGACGCTGCCACCAAACACTGCTTGGGACCAATGTGGATCTCATACAGGGTAAGCACAGCTGGAGCAGATGCTGTGAACTGTCTGTGCTTGATTTGGGTCCGGACCAGCTCTGCCAGAAGCCATTTGTTTCCTTCTTGTCAGCATACCCCAGCTCAGCGCAGGCGTCTGGCCAGGGTTTGGGCTATTCATATGCTTTTAAATGTTTCAGCATCTCTGTAGCTGCTGTGGCAACCCACAGTGCAAATACGAACAGCTTTTAAAAATAAACCTGGGGCCGGTGTGGAGCTAGGGAGCAGAGAGGAAGGGAAGGGGAACAGCAGTTGAAAGGGAAACGTAAGTCATTAAAGCTGTCATAAATGAAAAGAAGAAGGGGTGAAACATCTGTTGGAGTCATGAGCAAGTTTTTACCAGGACTCAGCAGTTTTTTGGCAATTCAGTAAAGAAATTGAGCGGTTCAGCTTTCACTAGTAACAGCTCACCAGGGTTACCATTAAGAATTACTAAATGCTAGACAGCATTTGCCAGTGCAAACACAAGGCTTCTCTAGAAGATCCCATCAAGTTCTTGCAGCACAGATGTGTTGGCAGAATTGAGTTGTGCTGCTCTATGAAAGCAAACCCAAATGAAATGAAGAAGACTACAACAGCTAAAGAAGCATCTTACCATGAGATTGTCCTCCTTTGTCTGATGACACTCAACCTTTCAGAAGCCCTTTGCTCACACCCTCCTCTCCAGGACAGCCATATAAAAGGTGTGAGGAAGAGGGGTGGTGTTTCACAGTTAAGGTCCAGCTGTCTTCCTGTATGAAAACTGCAGAAAATAGTGGTGGAGGAGATCTGTGTGATCCTCAGCTTCCTCTGGGCCAATGCAGAACTGTTTCATGTCACTGTTTGCCCCAGTCCTCTTTCAGTTTATCTTTAACGGTTTTCTGGAATAGCAGCAAGGAAAGATGAAGCTGAAAGCACAAGTTTCACTTTGTTTTGGTGCCAAAACAAAGAGTTGTTCCCAGGTTCCTTCCAGAGCTCCGTGAAATGCCAGCAGCTAGCCTCCTCCAGTGTTTTCAATGTATGCTTGGAGGCCAAAGCAATTCTATGATGCTGTGATTCTGTGCCACCCCATGGAAGACATCTCAGACACCTTAGATCACCTGTATACTTCAGTTCAAGACCCACTATTGAGTTTATTAAAAAGGGATAAGAAGTAGACTTAGGTAGAGCTCCAGAGCTGTGTGTGGGGCACAGCTTTAGCATGGAGCTGTAGCTCTCAGTGTTGCTATGGACAGACATGGGACCGTACTGCTGAATCCACCACAGGTACCAGAACTCAGCTTTCCATAAAGCTAAGCTGGATGCTTTGAACTACAGCTGTAGCTTACCAACTGCTGGTAATAAGAGTGATAAGTGATGTAGAGATTGTGTTTACCCCTTCTTGAGCTTGCTTTTCATCTCACAGAATGGCCATACCCTTCAGGTTCTTAATCTGTGGCCAAGAGGTGTATCAGCTGCTCAAGCTGGGGACCCAAAGATGGATGCAAGCAACATTGCTTCTTTGAGATGCTAGATCTGGAATAGCAATTGATGCACCATCCCAAACCAAAATAACATGAGAAACACCATCAGTAAGTTCCCATCAAGAGCTGAAGTTACAAATGCTGTCATTGAGCAACCAAGTCTGACTTAATGCATGGACTTACTTCAGTGGAAGTTGCTGGGTAATTGCCACTTGAAAAGTCAAGCCATTTGGACATTTATTGGTAAATATCTTGACCTATGCCTTCACAAGAACCAGCTACTGTCCCAGAGGGATCTGTAGGTTATTGTTGTTTGGTGTGTCTTACAGGAATCCTGGTAGGTAATTTTGTTCCATTACGTTTTCCACGCAGAACAGGCATTATAAGTGAATTGAATTAAGTGTTTTCTACCAGGAAAACTGCAGTTTTTAAGAAGTAGCTTTATTGTCAAATGGTTTCTCCTAAACTTAATTTCCAAAAAATGCACCTCCACGGATCCATAAACTATGCTGTTACTTTGTTATTTGCCATTGGGAACTTGCATGGGAATGGTATGATTTTCTTTCCTAGGATCCTTACATGAATGATTGTGTTGCTTTTATTTTTCCAGATAATGATTACAAGTGTCTTTGTGTGCCCCACTGCCCAATCCCTGTCTGATAGCTTAAACGTTAAGAATTTGCCATAAACAAACATGACTGGGTAACTAACACCTGCTTCATGTCATAGTCATTCCCCCTTGGAAGGACTGCATCCAGGCTTTGTAAAATTACAAGTGCTCCAGATGTGTATTCTGCTGTCAGCTGGCCTAGTGAAATCATTGTTTATTGACAGGTTCCCAAGAGTCAGACAGCTCTCAATCTGCCAAGAAAGACATGTTGGCTGCACTGAAATCCCGGCAAGAAGCTTTGGAAGAGACACTGCGCCAGCGCTTGGAAGAGCTGAAGAAGCTCTGTCTCCGGGAAGCGGTAGGCAATGGACATTTTATACCTGTAACACTTTGTCACTTGCATTGTTATAGCATGATCCTTGTTTGGGGATGGTGTGGAGTCAGGAGAAGAGATTCCTTCCATAGTCACCTCTTATAAGGCCCATTGTACAGAGACCTAAGGAAGGTCTGGATGTTTCAACTCCAGATTGCAGTGGCACAGTTTGTTTGCCCCCCAGGGAAGGGGACCCCACGTCAGCTAAGTAGCCCATTGGACTGGGGCTAGGAGAGTGCTCCATGTCTGCTGTTTGAAATAGTGTTTGAATGCATTCAGCCAGGCTTCTTATTGACTTTGGTGGGAGCATGCAGCTACATAAATGACATAGGAAAGGCTGTCCTGCACACTGGTAATCACTTCTCAAATGCTTTTGGCTTCATCAGCAAAAAAAGACTCAACAAAACAGGATGATGCACTTTCTTCTTGAAGCAGGCCTGACCTTACTTGCTTTTCTTCTCCCAACACAGTTTTACATACAGCACCCAAGGTCTTGTCTGCTTCATGTAGACTCCCTTCATCCAATAAGCTCTGGCACTGCTGAGAGGAATTGCAGTGTAGTGGCAGACCTTGTGAACTGGAACCACTGTAGTCATCCCAGGACGTGCAGGACAGCTCAGGAACTCATAACCTTCCCACTTGCTTGCCAGTTCATTCTTGGAGTACACAGGAGACCAGCTTAGAGATCAGTTTAATGTCTGGGGAAGTCACAACACTGCTGCAGCTGCACATGGAGATCAGCAGCAGTGTACTCTTGGGTCATTCATCAGTCCTCCCTTGTTTACCAGGCCTGAAAACGTGACTTCAAATGGTGATGTGTAACACAAGAGGAAGCTGGCTGCAGACAGTGGCACTGAGATCTTCCAGTTGTTGCTTAATACGTGTTGTGTATCTTGCCTTTGACAAAAACGGGGGCAGTAGGTCACTGATTCAGCTGTCATTGCACTTTGTTTTGATTGCTCTATAGTTTTAACATCAAGATTAAGCTGTGAAAAAACACCTCTCAACAAAGAACCTCTGCAGAAGTCTCTGCTGCCTCTGTTCCCATCCGTTAGTACAAGCGGGCAATCCTTTCCCACCTGGGAAGTCCTGGTTGACTTCAGCAAACAACTCGTGCTGATACAGGTCACAGGAACAGACCCAGTCTCCTAAGTCCATTGAGTACAGAGCCAAAATCATCTGCAGGAAGCAGTCAGGTGCTCTTTCAGGGGCTGATGGACAAGGTCTTGAGGTCTCTACTTGGCCTGGAGGAATTTACCACCCTAAGCTAACACTTCCTGACTGCCAATGACTAATGCCTTGCATCAGCAGCATGCAGATGTGCTTCTGCTGTAGTTGCAGGAGCTCACAGCCCCGTGCATTTACTTCCAACCCAGGCACTTTGCAACAGCTCCCACTGGGGCATAGAGCTGCTGGTAGGGAGCAATATCTCCTTCATGTGCTGCAGCAAGGCTGGCCACAGCCCATCTGTCAGCACCTTAAGAGCTGGTAGAAAGTGTTGGTGCTTTCTGTAGGTGATCCAAGAGAGGCAGCGGATGGACACGTGGAATCTGACCCTGTCTTAACAACCTTACAGCTCATCCATCAGCAGCCTGTAGTTGGAAGTATTTCCTCTCAGGCTGCCCTTCATGCTTTCTGCTTTGGCATGGGAATGGCCAAAGCAGAGGGAGAAGACTGAAAACCAGGAGATAAAAAAAGAGTTAAAAGTGGGGGCATAATCAAATCAGCATGGCCAGAGCCATTCCTTACAGTGGCATCAGGTTACTCCAGGCCATCACTACTCCAGTTACTTACTCATTTAGATTACATTTCAGGACCATGCCTGCAAATACTTTTCAGCTTATGGAGGCAGCATGGTAGCCCACATTCATTTTGTTCTGCTCCACTCTTGGGCATTTTACAGAAGATATTAACTCTTTCCCCATTGCTTCATAGGAAGTTAGAGGTTATAAAGAAAACAGCCTTGTTTCCCTCGGGAAGGGATACAGGAATCTGTGTCTGGATGCAGTGTTTAGAGCCACGTCTCACTAGAAGGAATACACTTTGGAAGAGAAGCTGAAATAACCCCACAGGGGGAAAGCAGAATGGGACTGAGACATTGCAACTGTGCCTCCTGCAATAGGGGGATGTGCTCCTCAGCATAGAGCTGTGCTGCAAACCCGTTTTTGCTGGGAACTGCTGAAAGGAGGGATTTGAAAAGGCCAGGTCCTTGTTTCCGAGTGACCTGAAAAGAAGAGAAAGAAAAACCCCATTAGGGAGCTGGGGAGAGGCCGGGGCAGGCAGGGACCTGAGCTGCACAGCACTCGCATTAAGGTCAGCTGCTGTTCTTCAGGATTCAGATGATTTAGGTTACTCTGCCAGCTGGATCCTCTCAAGGCTGATGCTAAGGAACACAAAAGCCTTTTGTCCTTCATGGGGAGACTTTTGAGTACAAGGAGGCTCCTGCCTTTTTCTGTAGGCATTTGAATGCCTTCAATTCAGATATGTGTGGCTGTATTGTGTAGTCCAGGGGAAAAACCCACAGCATTAACATCAGTAGTGGCGCTCCCTGCTCTCTGTGTTCCAGATACTGCTCAGTTCTGTGGGGTTTGCTTCAGATTTTGAACAAATCTTTGGAAATAACCCCATAAGTCTGACAAAACATCAGCTAATACTGCTCCAAAGCCGCCCGTGAGGTCACTGGGGTTTGGAAGGGGCTCTGATACATGAAGTGTTATCAGATAGGTAATGAGGTACCAGGCACTGCTTTTAGTGACCATTTTCAGTGCATTCCTCTCAGACACATCATGAATCAGGTGGGAATGTTTTGCTGTGCAGGTCATAACCTGCACGGCTGTTGCTGTTGTGGCTTTCTGACTCAGCAGATCTGCATCCTGCATGAGGGCTCTTAGACCTGCTCACTCCCCTCTCAGAAGCTCTTTCCTGTTCACCCTGAGGCAGCCTGTTCAGCCTCAGGCCCCAACGCCCTAAGGATGGGCACCAACTACAGACCTACCCTGGGCAGGCCACAAGAATAATCTGTATTCATTCACTCACTCACTCACTCACTCACAGGTTAAAGAAAAGCTCCTCAGTGTCAGGTTCTGGGATGAGTTTGCAGGGCTGGGTGCTCTCCTCTATGGTTATCAGCCCGCTGAACTGGATGTGTTGTTAATGAATGCCTGTCATTTTACAATCCCGGTTGAAGAGCAGTGTTGTGCTCTGCTCTGCTGCAGGACTTCCCAGACCACTAACAGCATTTTGTGCTTACAGGAGCTCACAGGAAAGCTGCCACGAGAATACCCCCTGGATCCTGGGGAGGAGCCGCCTATTGTAAGGAGAAGAATAGGAACTGCCTTTAAACTGGATGAGCAGAAGATCCTGCCTAAGGGAGAGGTGAGGCTGTGCCATTCCCTTCCAGCCCAGTGTCCCCACCTCAGGTCTCTAAGATATCCACCATGCATCACATAGGAAGCATCAGTCCTATAGTCATAGTTACATTAAATGACTGTAGTTGGTCACAGTGCCTTTATATGTATATAATCAGATATAAAGCAGGGAAAGCAGTGACAGTTGGTGGCCTTAGTTCAGACTTAAAGGTAAAACCCTCAAAGTTCAGCCCTGGCTTTGCTAGAGGTAACAAATAGCCTGGGTGAACAACAGGCCCATGACAGTCCAAGAGCTCTGGTGATCAAGTGCAGTGACTGAGCCCTGTGCAGCCGTCTGAGCCCTGCTGCTGCCCTGAGTTATTGCAAACAGCCACTTGCTCTCTGCTTCAGCAGCAATCTGAATTCATGTCTCCCCTAAGCAGGGAGAAAAGCATCACAGTTATCCATCTTAGCCCTGCAACAGCAAGATGAAAGCAGTTTGCTCCCCAGTCCTTAAACAAAAGAGCCTTCACCCCTACCTATGGGGAGCTGGAATTATGTTTTCCCAAGTTTGCCAGCGAGTGTTTGTTCTCTTCCCTTGCTCCCACAACGTGCTGGGTCAGTGCCCTGAACCATGGCTGTGAAAACAGGCCTGCAGCAGCTGTAAGGCGGGACCGGATCCACAGAAAAGCTATTGTCTTCAGAGACGCATTTGTCTCAAGACACTTGTGTATATTTCAGGCTTGAATTTCCCTTTTATTTTTGTAAGAGGAGAGACTGGAGCTGTGTGACTGTGTGGTTTAGGGCTCGGCTCAGGCAGGGAATTAACTGTTTGTCGTTTCATTGGCATTTTCCTGCTGCTGGAAAAATAAACAGCTGGAGCTCTTTAGTTGTGTTCTCAATGGAGCCTGGGAGAGGAATTCCAACAGTCAGATATTCATGAACCAACACATTTAATTAAGCTTTTCAAAGGGAAAGCATGGCTTAGCCGAGTTATTCCTGAAACCCCTGCAGTCTGCTGGCTGCTCAGTGAGAATATGATCTTCAGCTTCCCCACATCTTACTGCTACAGGGCAGCTTTTGGGGCCAGCAGGTGAGGAATCTCCTTACTCCAGTGGCAAGGTTAGGTGGGGAGAGCAGGAAGGTAAAGCAGCTCCTCCCCGCTGCAGGCACTCTGGCAGCAGCAATCCAAACATGCTGATTCAGCTTTTCTCTGCCTCCCTTTTCACCTGTCAAACTTGAAGACCCTGTTGAAAACTGTAAATTTCTCTTCTTGAGGAATGAGGTTGAGCTCTGTTTATTTGGCTGCCGCTTTGAGAGCATTTAGAGAGGCCAGCGGTGATTTTCAGGTGCTTTTCGGCAAATGCAAACATTAGAAACTCCATTTAAAACCAAAGGTTAAATACTCCCTCAGGCACATAAATTCAGGACTGATATTACCAACTGTGACAAGGACCTGAAGGGAGGCCCTTCCATCTGAAGGTAGATGATAGCTCTCATTTTCAGAGGCTTTATTTATAGGGGCCTCGCCGGAAGAAAATAAACAGTTATGGCCCAGAGGAAAATGAGTATGTTTTTTCTAAGATATACTGAATGATTTAGAACTGAATCTGTGAAGGTCTTAAACGACAGCTCACATCAAGCTCACCGTACCTTTACTAAGAGCTTTGGCAGAGTAAGACTTGCACAAATGCGTCTTACTGTATTTCTTGGTAATCGCCTCTACCTGGTCCATAATTCCTGGCTCTGGGAAGGATTTTAACCAGAAGACAGCAAATCAGGTTTCAGGCCTTAAAACTCCGTGGTGTTAAATTAACTTTTAATAAATTGGCACTAACAGAGCTTAGAAACTCCTCAAAGCAAAAAGGGATCTGTTAAAGTGATGAGGGGTGGGTTCAGTGTTCAGTAAAGTGAGGGAAATGCTCATTATGGGTTTAAGGCCGTTCCTACTCACCACGGACAGCAAAGGGATAAAGCCCAGAATGAAAACTTGAGAGAACAACTTCAGTCTGATCAAATCCCACAGCTCTTGCAGCATACTCTGCTGCTGGACAAAGAGACAGGGTTTGAATTTGCATAACGGGATCTCCATGAATACACGTCCATCAGCACTTGCCATCTGAACTCCCACCATTCACTGACAGTAAAAAAGCTTGTCCTTTTTTCCCCCTCATTTGCAATGTGCTGTGTTCCCCTTCCCAGCACACTAACAGCAGAAACTCCATCGAGCTGGGAAAGGCAGCCAAATCCATTGCAGATTAGCAGGGATCTTTGGAGCTCACAGCTTGAGGTCCCAGTGCAAACCAGGAAGCTCTATATTGGTTTCTGCATTGGCATAGATTGGCCTAAATCCCTTGGCTTTGGAGGATAACTGAAAACCAGTAGGTAGCCCTGGCTGCACTTAAAAACTCAGCTGAAACACTGCAAGGGCTAATGTTGGGGGAACTAGTCATGTTTGGCACAGAGAAAGCTTGCTGTTACACACTGCTCGCTCTGAAATCACCCTCCTGGCTTGTACCTTGAGGAGATAATTTTCCAGTGCAATGAGTTGCAGCAGCTCATACTATCCCCTGGAAATTGACAGCCATAGGCCAGGGAGGAGTTATGCCAACTTTGGTTTCTTTACCCAAAGAGTTTGGTGGATGCCAAGCAAACCTGTCAAGGAGGTTCAAGCTGTAGCTTTGCATCAGTACATAGCATTGATTTCAAATGGGGCTCAAATTTGGAGACAGGAAACAGGGAGGGGTGGATAAGGAGGCAGGGGTCACCCATAGATGGATGTAACAGGATGAATGTGTCAGCAGTAGAGCTAGGCCATATTGAACTGCATGAAAACCCAAACAGCACATCAGGGATAGGGCTGAAGCACACACATTCTTCTTGCATGGGTCATCACTTCCACCAGCTGTGCTCCAGACACTCATGTGAGCAGATAAAGGTGAGGTGGGCATGTTCAGGGAGGCCCTGACGTGAGGGGAGCAGCATGGCTATGGATGCTTTGCTGATGGAGAGCCTTGGTTGGAGGCTATGGCAAGGTTCAGGGAGAGCTTCCCCATAGGTGTGCTGGGAGAGTTTGATGGCAGCCAGAATCCACTTACCTTTCCCCAGGAGGCAGAGCTGGAGCGCCTGGAGAGGGAGTTTGCCATTCAGTCCCAGATCACGGAGGCTGCTCGGCGCCTGGCCAGTGACCCAAATGTCAGCAAGAAGCTGAAGAAGCAGAGGAAGACATCCTACCTGAACGCACTGAAGAAGCTGCAGGAGATCGAGAACGCCATCAATGAGTATCGCATCAAGTCTGGGAAGAAGCCAACCCAGAGAGCCTCCCTGATCATAGATGGTAAGTGGGACACTGGGAGAGCACCCACGGCATCACAGAAGGGTCTGTGGAGGGCAGGGAGCAAAATCTTTGCTTTGAGGGACAGATCATAGTATCACAGAATGGTTTGAGTTGGAAAGGACCTTAAGATCATCCAGTCCCAATCCCCTGCCATGGGCAGGGATGCCTCACACTAGACCATGTCACCCAAGGCTCTTTCCAATTCTGTCTTGAATGCTGCAGGGATGGAGCATTTACCACTTCTTTGGGCAACCCATTCCAGTGCCTCACCACCCTCACAGTAAAGAACTTCTTCCTCATATCAAACCTGAACTTCCCCTGATTAAGTTTAAACCCATAACCCCTTGTCCTATCCCTACAGTCCCTGATGAAGAGTCTCTCTCCAGCACCCTTGTAGCCCCCTTCAGACACTGGAAGGCTGCTATGAGGTCTCCACGCAGCCTTCTCTTCTCCAGGCTGAACAGCCCCAACTTTCTCAGCCTGTCTTCATACGGGAGGTGCTCCAGCCCCTGATCATCCTCATGGCCCTCCTCCATTCCTCCTCTTCTTTCTCCTGTCTGGAGGACTCTGCAGTGCTGTCTTCTCCCATCCTGCATGCTGTACACTGGGGATGTGCTGGTTCACAGCACAAGGAGCAGTGTCATGCTGCAGAGTACAAGCCTGCCAGGAAAGCAGACTGTGAGCCCTTTGTTCGCCTATAACATCACTGTGTTAACGTCTCCTCCAGAGTGGTGCTGTACAAATACAATCAATGTTCACAGATTGGGGTGAGCTGTCTAGCTGAAAGGCATCTCTACAATCAAAGTGTGGCAGTGTCATGGCTGTGTTCAAATGCTTTTTTTTCCCTTTCTAATTTTTTCCTTACAATGGAATTCTCAGGGCACTTTATGGATTACTGGGTTGTTGATTGGTTTTTCATGAAATCCATTAACTTGCTGTTGTGGTTCTTTCTCCCTTGCTGATTTTGCCCTTTCCCTTTGACTTGCAGAGCTTTTCTCTGTGCCTCTGTAGCAGGAACTGAGATTAGAGCTGCTGCATTTGTGACCTGGGTACCAAGTTACACCGCAGTCAGGGATAAAAGGCAGCCAGGAGGACACGGGATGGGGGAGGCAGCTCAGTGTGTGCGTGCCAAGGATATGAGAGCTGCTGCTACAGAGGATGCTCAGAAAGCATTTCCCTGAATTACACAAAACTGGTACCTAGTGTGAGCCTCTAGTTAGCAACAGGATGATCATTTTAAGAAGGTGGGGATCAAACCCAGAGTCCTTAAGGCCCGAGATAGAAATCTTTCGAATGACATCTTGCATCCTCTGGGGATCTCAGCTCTCCCTTGTGACTCAGGGATCCCTTGTGATCTCCATTAATTGACAAGAGTTAGCAGCTCCCTGAAAGGCAGCCTTCTAGTGAGAGGCCTGGCCTGCAGCTCTGCTCCTGGGGACCGAGAGTGCTGAGTCAGTTGTTCATAGGAATCTTGCCACTCAGCTATGGGAGGAGGAAGACGTGGGTGACTGCTTAAGGCTCAGACTTAGTGGACAAAGATCACAGTGATTCTCAGGGTTGGGATTGGGCTGGAAGGGACCTTAAAGCTCATCCAGTTCCAGCCCCTGCACAGGCAGGGACACCTTCCACTAGAGCAGGTTGCTCCAAGCCCCTGTGTCCAACCTGGCCTTGAACACTGCCAGGGATGGGGCAGCCACAGCTCCTCTGGGCACCCTGTGCCAGCGCCTTCAGCACCCTCACAGGGAAGAACTTCTGCCTAAGAGCTCATCTCTATCTCCCATCTGACCATCTAATATCCAATATTTCCTAATGTGACCCATATTTTCTTCCCTTCAGAAGGAAACATCGCCAGTGAAGACAGCTCCCTCTCAGATGCCCTTGTTCTCGAGGATGGTACGTTTCTGCTGTATGTTCTAGAGGGCAGGAAGGAAAAAGGGAGGGATGTGTGAGCTCCTGATTGCCACTCAAAAGGAGGAACTGTTCTGTGTAACAATCCATGCAAAAATCCCAGTATCAAAAACACTTGGTTTCCCCTGACTCCACCCTGTAGCCAGACACCAGGCCTGGAGCAGTGAATATTGCTGCTGAATTGAATCTGAATTCTTTCAGAAGACAGTCCCAAAATCCCCCGTATTTCCTCTTAATGTTGCAGTTGGTTTAATGCATTGCACAATCTTGTTGGGCATCCTTTCCCAAAATGGGAATGTCAGCTGGTGCACTACTAACAGCTGGGTCTTCAGGTTGCTCCTGAGCACAGCCAGGGGAAGCAGGGTGAGGAAGCAGGTTCAGAAGGTGTTGTGCTGCCATTGCAGGTATCACACAGCCATCACCTCTCTCCCTTCTTCTCTTCACAGAGGACTCTCAGGTCACCAGCACAATCTCCCCTCTTCAGTCCCCACACAAAGGACTCCCTCCCCGACCCCCCTTGCACAACAGGCCGCCCCCCCCGCAGTCACTGGAAGGCCTCCGCCAGATGCATTACCACCGCAACGACTACGACAAGTCCCCCATCAAACCCAAGATGTGGAGCGAGTCATCCTTGGATGAGCCCTATGAGAAGGTCAAGAAGCGCTCCTCACACAGTCATTCCAGGTGAGTCAGTTAGCTTGAGGCTCCATTCCAGAGGTATCCTCTGCTTTCACGAGGGATGGGTGTGAGAGCTGTCAAACTTCCTGAAGCGGACCCATACCAAAAGGAGGTTTTAAGGTGTTTTGGCCAATAAGCAATGTCATAAAAACAGGCTGCAGCCACAAGAGCTGCTTCATATCTTGATGTTACTGTAAAAACCATTTAGAAAGGAAGGATGGTGGATCTTCTGAGGGCTTTGACAGGGCTTGGCCTTGACCTCTGGCTAATGCAGAAGCACAATGTCTGGGATGCAGCACCAGCTGTCCCAACTCCCGCTTCCCCCACAAGATCACAGACACATGCCTGAGATCTGGAAGGAGGCATAGGAGCCCTTCTCCCCCCGTCCCTGCCTGGAAACTGACACAGGGTGTTTGCTCTGCAGCAGTCACAAGCGGTTCCCCAGTACTGGGAGCTGTGCTGAGGCAGGAGGGAGCAGCTCGCTGCAGAACAGCCCCATCCGGAGCCTTCCCCACTGGAATTCCCAGTCCAGCATGCCATCGACGCCGGATCTACGGGTACGCAGTCCGCACTACGTCCACTCCACACGGTAAGTTTTCTCTCACCTTACCTGGAATAAATATTCTTGGCTTCATCCTTCCCCTAGGATATGAATTAATTCCCAGTTCAGGAAAGGAAATAAACCAGTCCTGTTCATGTAGAAGGCTCATGTACGGTTGTTGCCAGTAGGGAATCTTTCCTGAACTGAGATCCTGAAATCACATCAGCGTGACCCTGCCCCTCATCACTTCCCCAGCAGTAACCAACCTTTTCTTCCAACGGGACCTTTCATCTCAGGGACTGTTTATAGGTGCTCCAAACCCCACACCACTTTTAAGAGTTACGGAGCTACTGCTAAACGCTGCAGTAAATTCCTCCATGGATCCCTGAAGAGAACACGTTGTTTCCCGTCTGATACAAACTGTTGTGCAGTGTTAGCTCTCTCTCATAGATAAAATGCTGGCATGCGTGTGAGCTTGTATGGAGAGAGAGCCTGCGTAAAGCAATCCACCCAAGGATCCAGAGGGCACTGGAATGAGCCCAAGGTTGACAGAGGAAAGAGCTGAAGTGTGTAAGGGATGTGATTTGATGTGCATGGCCCAATTTGAGTCCAATTTCCATCAGAATTTCTACAAAGTGTTCAGCTTCATTGCTATTTTGCTCTTGTGATAAATCCCATGGACACTGCAGGAAGCAGAGCTGAGCCAAAGCTGTGTTGTTAGGTACCCTGCCCTAAGGGGAAGTGCTACCATCATTCAGCTCAGCATAAATCAAGTCATGCCAACACATCAGTCTTGGGCAGAGACAATACGAGGCATTAAGACCCTGGGTTAACTGTGTTAGAAGTGTTTGGCTGAGAATACCTTTCACAAGTACAATGTTTGTTAACACTGGAGCCAAGCTGCATGAGAAACAAGCCTGGCACAAGGCTTGAGAAGCATCCTTGACCGGGTAGGGACCATTTGGGTGTTTGAAATAACCATTGCTTGCTCTGTGGCTCATTCATGAGCTGCATAACCTGGCCTTGGCCATCCATCATGACAGTGTGTGGCTTGCTGTGGAGTGTTCCTGCTCCCTGAACAGATGGCTGAAGCTCTGCAAACAGCTGGGGTGAAGAGAGACCACCCAGACTTGGCCATGAATCGAGCCTTATGAGCTGTGATTTGGGGTAGTTACCTGAAGAGGCCATCACCCAATAGCAGTCCCACACATGCCACCCATGGCTGGGCCCCAGTAAAATCGAACTGCTCAACAGAGGTGACTTTTTCAGTGACCAGGGTAGAAATCACTGCATTCTGGGCTACGTATGGGCTGGCTGGCTGGCTGGCTGGCTCACACCTGGTGGATTGTACCTGTGCAGAGCCTTCAGAGGCTACTTGTGAGGGAATCCCACCTTCGGGGCTAAAGCCTTGGGGGCTGCAGAGCTGGGGTGAGGTGAACCTGGTACACAGGGATGGGGCTGATCCAAACAGCTCTGCCATGGAGCCACACCAGCAAAGCTGGAGCTTGAGGTTCCCCGTTTTGCCCTTCAGACTGGGTCTTCCCCAGGGTGGCAAGCCACAGAGGAATTGTGCTGGGCAAGGGTATGTCCCGTGTGGTGCTGCAGAGTGAATGCCACCACCAAAGAGACTGGAGAGGAACAGGAATAGGACCTAACCACTCCAAACCCTGCAGCAGGGAAACAGCTTGCTTTGCAGGCAGCAGCCCCACACAGTGCTGGGGGGGGGGGGTGTCCAGGTTTACAGTGCCCTCAGAGTCCACTGCCTGTTAAGCTTGTCTTGTGTGCACAAGGGGATGGGGCGTGCTCTGTCCTGTTGACTTACCAGCCTGGATTTCTTCCCTGCAGGTCAGTAGACATCAGCCCAACCAGACTGCACAGCTTAGCTCAGCACTTTAGACACCGGAGCTCCAGTTTGGAGTCGCAAGGCAAGCTCCTCGGCTCTGAAAATGAGACAGGGAGCCCCGATTTCTACACCCCAAGGACTCGTAGCAGTAATGGCTCTGACCCCATGGACGACTGCTCTTCCTGCACCAGCCATTCCAGCTCTGAGCACTACTACCCTGCTCAGATGAACCCCAACTACTCTACCCTGGCAGAGGATTCCCCATCGAAAGCCAGAGAGCGGCAGAGGCAAAGGCACAAATCGGCAGGCAACCTGGTCTCGTCCAATTCAGGGAGTATGCCCAACCTGGCTGCGAGGAACGGGACGGGACACCACCGTGTGTACCTGCACAGCCAGAGCCAACCCTCCTCCCAGTACAGGATCAAAGAATATCCCCTCTACATTGAGGGCAGCTCCACACCCGTGGTGGTGCGGAGCCTGGAGAACGACCAGGAGGGACACTACAGCGTGAAAGCACAATTCAAAACCTCCAACTCCTACACGGCGGGGGGGATGTTTAAGGAGAACTGGCATGGGGATGAAGTGGACTCTGTCAGGCTCACCCCTTCCCGCTCCCAAATCATAAGGACTCCATCTCTGGGCAGGGAGGGCCACGAGAAAGGCTCGGGTAGGACTGCGGTGTCGGACGAGCTGCGGCTCTGGTACCAGCGGTCCACGGCCTCCCACAAGGAGCACAGCCGCCTCTCGCACACAAGCTCCACCTCCTCGGACAGCAGCTCCCAGTACAGCACATCTTCACAAAGCACCTTTGTGGCACACAGCCGGGTCACGAGAATGCCTCAGATGTGTAAAGCAACAACAGGTGAGAGCAAAAGTGGAGGGATACAGAGGAAGTTCAGGTTAGATACAAGGAGGAAGCTCTTCCCTGTGAGGGTGCTGAGGCGCTGGCACAGGGTGCCCAGAGAAGCTGTGGCTGCCCCATCCCTGGCAGTGTTCAAGGCCAGGTTGGACACAGGGGCTTGGAGCAACCTGCTCTAGTGGAAGGTGTCCCTGCCTGTGGCAGGGGGGTGGAACTGGATGATCTTAAGGTCCCTTCCAACCCAAGCCATTCTGTGATTCTATGATTCACACCATGTGGGTTCATGCTGGAGAGCAAAGCCAGACCATAGCACATTATCTGGCCTTCGCATGCTGCTCACCAAGACTGTAGGCGTAAGACCGGGGGCAAGCCTTGTCCAACACACTCAGCAGGTGGGAATTCTTTCCATGCAAATCATCACTTTGCAATGATGGGCTCAAAAGACACTGAGGGACCAAAGCCCTGTTGTTATCCAGTCTTTCCTCAGCATGCAGCTGGGTTTTGGATGGCAGCACTAGCAGCCAAGCATGGAGAAACCATGAGTGGGGAGTCTCTTAGTAACCACAGTGAGGAGAGCAATGCAGCAAGTGAGGGCTCAGCACAGACCAGGAGAATGCACGTCCTTGGTGAAATACCAAAAGCATGAGGAAGGTAAAGTGGGGAGCATTCCAGCCCCTCCACCCCCACTGAAAATGCTTGAGCAATGACATCTCTGTGCACTGCTGGGACTTGGCTTTCCCTTGCAGCTCCAGCAGCTCTGCTGATAGCATACTGCCATTCAGAGTGCTTTAGTTTGTGCAGTGTTGTGCCCATCGGGCAGGTACAGAGCTCTGCAGAGCTCTGTGCTGTTAATATTAAATGGTGAGAAAACAGCCAAATTCATTAAGCTGAGGAGGCCACTGTGTGCTATGAAACAGCCCAAGGTTAAATATTTACTGGCCATCAGTCACTGCTGGACAAGCCAGTTTGGACACATCAAGGACTTGCTAAAACCCTGAATCCAGCCCCATGTGTGCACTCAAAGAGGAGGTTTGATACCACGCTCCTCACGGGCCTGAGAAGAGGCTGATTTATGTGTGATGCCAACAGTTGTAGGAGGCTCAGATGTGGACCAAGACACAGTCCAATAGCTGCTGTAACCATCCTGTGTCTCCATATGAAAATCTGTCTTCCTCCCTTTGATGAATGGGCATTTCCCTTCCACCCAGCAGCAGAAAATGCCTGAACATAGGAAAGCTTTGCCTTGCTTAGCTTTGGAAACCATATCAGTTCAATGAGGTAATGTAGGGGGGTAAAAGCTGCTGTCAAGTGGCCCATTCCCCCACGCAGCTGGGTCTTTAAATGTGATACCTGGGCAGCACAGTGGTGAATGTGCTCAGTAATCACAGCCTGTGGTGACCAGCTGGCAGGTAGATTGCATTCAGTGTCCAGTTAGAGCTGTGGGAGGACACTGACCTCCAGGGCTGTCAGCTCCAAGGAGCAATTAGAGTTTGGTTTTCTCTTTGAGTGTCATTTGGTAGCAGGTGAAGAATTGAACAGCACACAAGAGGCTGCCAGGGAGAAACAGCCATAATTTTAGCTGATGAGCCCTAGCCAGTAAGTCTACTGGACTGCAGACCGTCCTTCAGCAAGTCATACTTCTAGGCATATATTAAATTTGGAAGGTCAACACTGCATGGATTTGAGGAGGAAGAAAAATTGGTCAGGTGGATTCCTCCAAGAGCCACTGCCAATGGCACATTTTTAGTCCAGATTGTTTCCATCTTTGTTGAAGATGAACCTTCCTCTGGTCCATAGCAGTAGCATCAGCAAAACCCAACTTCAGTTTTCTATGCACAGTGAAAGGCAGTTGTAGCTTTTGCAGTCTTCAGAGCTGTCGCCCTCCTTTGCAGATGAAGCAGTGTCCTTGTCCATCCTGTCACCACTGCCAGCCCTGGCTCCCAGGGACACAGAGCATCTCCCACCACCAAGGGAAGCAGGACAGGCTGGGCTCCTCCATCTCTCATGGAGATGTGCAGCAAAACCCATTAGCTTTCATGCTGGGACAAGCGTGGTGCTTCCCAGGCAGGCTCAGGAGAGTCTGGGCGGTTGCACGCAGGCTGAAACAAAGCATTCCTGCAGAGCTGAGGATGGATGCAGCCATCACCCGCAGCAGTGTCAGCAGTAGGCTGGCTGCTCCTGTGCCACGTTCGGGATGAGGTCTGACTCCCAGGTGGTGTTTGCTCACAGGCAGACATGTTCCTGCTGGTCTGACCACCCTGACCTCGCGCCCTCACCTCACTGGTTCTTTTCCTGCCCCCTTGGGTTGTTTTCCAGCTGCCTTACCTCACAGCCAGAGGAGTTCGACACCATCGAGTGAGCTAGCAGCCACGCCGCCGGGCAGCCCGCACCACATCCTCACGTGGCAGACCGGGTGAGTGTCCCTGCCGTCGGGTAAACAACTCCCCTCACTCAGTGCCACACTAGCACAGGGACAGCACACGCACGGGGAGCATCCTCCAGGTCCTTCATAGCCTGCACATCTGCACAGAGCATTCCCAGTTCCCATCCAGAGTGGTGGAGCTGTAGTTCAGGCTGACCAATACACAACCATGCCACCTACACCAGCAGCACTGCTCCAAGCAGTGCCAGATCCACAGGGAAAGAAGCCTTGCAGGTTCTTCCTGCTTGGGCAGTCTCCTTCCTCCAGTCTTCCTATGTTGAAATTGCTGATCTTTCCTGTAGCAACCATCCCACTGGCTGTGCAGACCAGGAGGATCTTTGTTGGAAAGGCAGGGTTTGGTGCCTGCCATACTTGTGTCTAGCTTTTCTGCTAGGTTTTCCTTAGCAGTGCATATAAAGTGCACCTTTTTTCAGCTACCACTAACTTGCCATGAGTGAGTTATTCCATGCAGGTAGCCATTACTCACATAAATACAGTAACTGGGTTCTTTGGCACCTCTTTGTGAGGCAGGGAGTTCCAGGTGTAAGCAAAGAGCATTCTGTAAGCACCCGTGGGTATTCTGCAGCAAGCTGCAGTAATTCTGGCCTGCCACATGAAGTAAAGATCATTTCCAGATCCCCTCTAATTCAGCACATCCCAGATTTTTGCATCTAAATGGAGTTTGATGAGATCAGCTATAAAGTTTCAGACTACAGCCTCAAAATACCATGTCCTTGAGTAGGAAACCAGGTACGATTCCCTGAGCTGTTACCGGTCCCAGTTCACATTGCAAACATTTCACTGTGCAGCCACTGGAAAATCTCATACTCCTTAATTTCTTCTGGTCACCTGTGACCGAGTTTGAACTCTGGCTTCACTCCAGCACCGCTTGTGAGTGCGCTGTAAAATGGAGATGAGGAGCACCATAACCACAACCGCCTTAGGCCTACCTTGGATTTTGATATCCAGCCTCACATGGGCTTTGCATGGGCCTCCAGCTTTAGAACAGGAGGATTTTCCTGGTCCCATTTCACAAAAGGCCAAGGGATCACAAGACAGGCAAACAGCAGTTATCTTCACTGCACACTAAAGTTTCCACTGTGACGGGTTTGAGTCTAGACTGAAATCTCAGTCTCCATCCCAATCCTAACTCCTCTAAACATCTCCATGATGCTCAGCAGTAAACCTGGTGAGCAACCAGCTGAGGAATCTGTTTGGAAAAATCCCAACTCTCACTTTTCCTCTCAAGAAAACTCGGGCGCCCCATCTCCCATAGCAAAAACGCATCAAGCCCAATTCCCAGCTGGTGAAAGTGAAGTTAGCTTAGATTTATAGCTTTGCATCAACAACCAGTGCAAACGGAGCTGGAGACAAATCAGCACTTACTTCATGCCTGAGCATAATACCCTAGTTATGAATTCAGGTCCAGGTTGCTGTCAGATGCACAACAGAAAGTGCAGGAGCTGGCTGTGCCCTCCCAGCACGACCCAGACAGATTGACACTTCTCCTCAACATGCTTTTGTGTCACTAACTCTTTCTAAAGATGAGGCATTGACTTGTTTCCCCACTGGATTAATAAACTCGTAACAATGTCTGTGTCACTTCTTCTCTTTAACATTTCCTCTCTCCTCTTTCCTTCCCTTTTTGCTCTCCTTTGTTCAGAGAAGCAACAGACAACTCACCCACTATGGATGAGTCTCAGTCTCCAACCCACCAAAGTACTGATGAATAGAGGTATAGTAAGGGGGCGTTTTGTTCTTTCATCCTCCTGCCTTACAGTCCGTGAACACAGTGCGAATAACCGGCGTCCCGCTGTCCCAGAGGAGCAGCCCCTGTGGCTGTGACCCTGCTGGTTTGGCAACAAGGCTTCCTTCAGCCCTGGGAAGAACAACTTGAAAGCATCTCCATGCCCTCTCTGTGCCTTTTCAGCAAGTTTGTGGCTGTGGTGCTCTTTGAAAGAGGACCTTGGGCCAGTGTGCTCTGCCCTTGTGCAGAGGTGAATGGGCACAGAGAGCAGGCAACGGTGACAATTTGTGGCTGGGGACGTTCAAAGCAGTGTGGGCAAAGTGCTATGGGGAGAGTGTGGGAGCTCAGGGGACCTGGACTGAGCTCCCTGCAGTGCTGCAGCCATGGCACCAAGCACCCCATTCTCCTCCTTCCGTAGGGCAGAGCAGAGCTGTGAAGCAGAGCCTAGAAGCAGCAGCGTGGTTTCATGGAACAAGGAGCGATCCTGGCCCTGTTCCTGTGGGAAAACAAGGGAGGGCAGAGGGAACAAAAAGCTCCTCAGAGTATTTCTAGCTTAATTAAACTACATGGCTGTCTGACACCCTGATTTGAATCTACAACCATTCACAGCTGGCATCTGCCACCTATTTCAAGCCCAGCTTTCAAGAGATAACCCATAAACCTCCCTACTCCAGCACAGAGCTGGGAAACAAAGGGCTCTTTAACATGCAGATGGTGATGCCCTTGCTCAGGTTCCTCCAAAACATGGTCCCAGGGAAGCAGGTGGAAAACAGGGCAGAGGAAGCAGGAATTGCAGGGATCAGTCTCTGCAAGTCCAGGGAGCTGAGGGGTGAGAATCCCACAGTAAAGGGAAAATGGATCTCTCAATGTTGGCCTCAAAACAATCTCTAGTTTGGAAGTTGGTTCAAAGCATATGAGGGGCCACATCAGTTCTAACTCTTATTATGCAGATACAGCACAGAAAATTCTCATCAACTCCCTCACCTGCTGAGTACAGGCAAACAAAAAGCCTTGCAGGGAAGAAAGCAGCAGCTTGTCATCAGCAAGACAAGTCCTAAGAGCAGTGATCTCAGCCATGGACAGTACTACCCAGTGGGAACAGGGAAGGAGGAGGGTGGTGATGCTTTGTTGTAGCTCTTCTGCTCTGCGCAAGGGCTTGTGCATCACCTGGCAATGCCACAGTTAGGTGGCTTTCCAGGGATGAGCTAGAAAGTGACTCATGCCAGGTCCAGTGTGGAAAGGATGGTGTTATGTTGTAGGCAGTGGGTTGGAACTGGATGAGCTTTAAGGTCCCTTCTAACCCAAACCATTCTATGATGATTCTGGTAGGGCTGGCCACAGGCGTTTGCAGCAGACACTGCTTTCTTGTAGTGCATCCCACCAGCAGTGGGCTGAAAGCAACAGCAGCTCTGCCTGTTGCCATTCCAACCCCCAAAACTCAGGGCATCCTGGTCACAGAGAGGCTGCTGGAGCTCAGCTTTCTCCTGCCTCCTCACCCCAGGCACTTTGTGGGGTGAACAGGGCTGCCAGGCAAGAGCAAATTGTGGAAAAGCAGGGTCTTGCATGCTGAGTGCACCCCAAACATCAGCTCTGAGGGTACCTGCAGAGTTCAGTGGGGTCTGTGAATATCCTCTGTTCCCTTCCACACATAACAGAACGTTTTATTCACCTGGTTGAAGTTTCCAGGAGCCCTTGTTGTCCTAACGAAGTTTCCTTTCTCCTGCAGGAGCTACAACGATAGCTGTTTCCTGGATTCTCCCCTCTATCCAGAATTAGCAGATGTCCAGTGGTATGGGCAGGAAAAAGCCAAGCCTGGGACTCTAGTGTGAACCCCTGACCTCAAGTTAACCACATCAATGCCATTCTGAGTTCACCTCACTGCCTCTCATTTGCCTTACCCAGATGCACTGTCACCCAGCACCAGCTTCCACTCCAAGCACTTTCCTCACGATGCAATTCAAGGCGACATCCGCACCACACTGGCCCAGAGACATCCACCACAGCAGCACCCCGCTGCCAGAGCAGCACACGTGATGAGCAGCCATCCTAACAGGCACTCAGCAATCTACTGCTTTGCCTTTGGAATGATGGAAGCCTTTCAAGGCTTACATCAAATCATATTGTTCTGCGGCATGTAACAGCAGTAAGGTTTCCATGACCTGCGATCTGAAGCATTAATTTAAAGGGGGGATAAAATGGGATAGATGCTGAGAAATGGATATAACAGTCCTGAAAGCGTGTCTGTTATGAAACAGCAAAACCATGTTACTTCAAAGATGTGTCAGGCTCGCAGTCAGATCTGCACTGCCAAAGATCACCACGCCAACATCAGCAGGATGAGCTCACTCAGCAGGTTCCAGCTACAAGAACATCTGTTTTAACTCGGTACAGACACAACCACCTCCTGTCAAACAGCATTTCCTTCATCGCTTTGAGCCCACCTACGTGCAAAATAACCCATTGTGCTGAAGACCCGCTGGAGGTCTGGACTGGTATCACAGCATCACTGTCCACAAGCTACTTTTAAACTGGATAAAGAAGGTTTACAGAACCATTATCTAAAGCAGAGGCGAGTACTGGGGCTGGCACCGGTTGCACACCACTACATGGAGAGGTTGGGTTGTGCTGGTTGAGTTTTAATACTCTGATAAATATAAAAATTGCCAGAAAAACCCTTTCTGCAAACAGATACAGCCAATAAAATCTAATCAATACCTGCACAAAGCGTTAAGGTGAAATCAAAGGGAAAGCACACAGCAATCAAACCAACACCCAAAGCAGCATTAATGCATCTGCTCCACTCCTTTCCCCTTCCTAAGCACCAGTGTAGCAAAGGGCTCGTCACCAGTGTGCTGCCGGGTGGGAGAACTGGTCCGTCGGGAAGAGCTCAACACCCAGCAGCAGAGGCAGATCCTCCCAGTGCAAGAAGCGACCACAAGAAAGAGAAGCAACTCAGTGGGGTGTTGGACATGAGCGAGAGCTGCCTGCTGATACCAAAAGGAACCGTCATGGAAGGAGCTGCAAGTTTACATGTACTTTTGAGCAATGCTTTACACACGTTCAAGCCATGGAACTTTCAAAGGCCTCAAAGACACTTTTGTAACGAACAAGTGCACAATCTGGGTGGATGTTGAAGCTGGCACGTCTAGGCTTCACCGCGGTGCTATGCTGTTTTTATTGCCACTAGATGGGGGGAGGCTCCCGGCCTTTCCCCCGTTTGTGCGATGATTTCCTATGGGAAAGGCATTAAAAGAAACGGCTGGAGGGGGGTAACTTTGGTGAAAAGCAGAAACTGAAGTTAGCTTTGGTTTAAGGAAAAGAAGAATTAAAGTGCGAGTGTGTGTGTGCGTGTGTGTGTGTGTGTGTTCCAAGAATAACAACAGTGTCTACCAGACAAAGTAGGGCGACAGTGAAACACCGTGGCTTGGGGGGCTGCCACACCTTTTGGTATTAAGATTGCTGGAAAACTGCATTCCAGGCTTGAAAAGAGAATGGGTTCTGCATAATTAGGCTTGGAAAGATGATGGGGTTTCTATACATTAACACAAGCAGCTCACACAACAGCACGTACCAGGAATGATCGGTGCTGTTCTCTGTGCCAGGTAGGGAGGTGGCCTCGGATGGGCAGAAGGGCTGGTGTTTGTCCAGGGAAAGCCACAGCAGAGCCAGGAAGGGAACTCTCGTGTCCATACATCATTATTATCCCTCTGGAAAAACAAAATAGAACAGTTTTTATCCTGGCAAGGGGTTTTAAAGGTGGCCATGTGAGCCTCGAGCTTCTGGACCTCCAGGAAGCATTGAACCCCCTATGATAGTAGCTGGAACCTCACAACCCATCAGTGAAAGGACAGACAGTGGGGTGAGGTTGCACCCATTACCTGGACGTGCAAAATCCAGTTCCACCATCTCTTTGTGCTTTGGGGTCTTTAACATGGGAATTATCTCAAGCTCCTAATTGGATTTTTAGCTACGAGATAGCACTGATTAGTGACATTTCCTGGTAAGACTGAGGAGCTAAAGTGAAAGGATTAACTAAGGACCAAATTAAGCAGCAGCAAGTAATTCAGCCCATGGATTTGTAGGGGCTCTGAGCAACTGTCTGTTTTCTTTGTAATTCCCTGTAAGTGGCTTTGGGGTTGGTTGGTTTCTGTTCTCCCTGTGTACCTTCCTTAATTAAAAAGAATTCAACAACAGCGGCGCTATGAGGCCTCTGGGCATGACAGGAAGAAGCATTAATTCCTCAAAGGCCAGCTCTGCAGTTTTGCAGCAAAGGTGAAAAGGTGGCAGCCCTGAACTTAGGCGTAAGGAGGAATCCAGTGCTTGGCCTGAATCGCAAAGGGGCTCGAGCAGAGAAAACAAGCTTCCTAGAAACGGATTGAGTTTTGCTTTGTGTTCTGCTTTTCTGATCCGCAGTCGAGGCACACGTGAGCAGCCAGTCTGGTAGTAAAGACAGATTAAAGTAAAACAGGTTTTACTGTTTAGCTCAATTCAATTAAAACACAAATGTACATAAAATGTTAATCAGATGAGATTAACATATTTAAGTATAACGCGGAGGGGTATATACATAGCTATTATAGACAAGCACTTGACTACCAACTTAACCCCTACTGTCCTTTTTTGTTTTCCAAGGCTCCATCCGACATAAAGCCACAATCGTGTTCCGAGTCTACGTGTCTGATGCTCAGCCGGGAGCTAATCCCACGCTGGGCCGTGCTGGAGGGAGGCAGGGTTTATTTTGCCATCATCCTATATGCAGTCGAGTGTTGAAGATGTTGAAACAGTCCCATTTGTTTTCACTCTGTATTAGTTTTAGTTTCAGGCATAGCCGATCCCCATTCAGGTGCTATCAGATGACCAGTTACTGCTTAGTTAACTAGATGTAAAGTTTTACATATATATTAATGTCAATAGTTTTATTACGAGTTGTGTAAAATGGACTCTCTAGTTTAAAAAAAAAAAAAAAGAAGGAAAAAGAAGGAAAAAAACCCATTAGGTCTCTCCTGAAATTGACTTTAGAGCATGGAAAATGATTTGACTGGATTCTGTTCAACTGTAATCAAGGAACAAACTATGGATGTTGTAGAAAAAGTTGCAGAATTAAAACAGATCTGCTTTTAATTTATTCTTTTTGTATTAAGAATTTGTATAGTTACCTTTACATTTTGCAGAACGGTGTTGTCAACACTTCCTTATTAAAGCATTTTCAAAATGAAACCTTGCACTGTGCTTATTCTGGAGGGCACAGCGCCTTGGGCACGCCTTATACCACCACCTCTGCCAGACCTTGCTCCAGATGTGCACACAGCTGGCCAGGGCTTCCATGGCACCTGCTCCTTTGCTGCTGCTTGCAGGAAACACTGGGCATTAGGATGCTGGAGAGGGGCTCTTCATCACTGTAGTGATAGGACAAGGGGTGATGGGTTCAAACTGAAATGGGAAGTTTAGATTGGATATAAGGAAGAAATTCTTTACTGTGAGGGTGGTGAGGCACTGGAATGGGTTGCCCAAGGAAGCTGTGAATGCTCCATCCCTGGTGGTGTTCAAGGCCAGGTTGGACGAGGCCTTGGGTGACATGGTTTAGTGTGAGGTGTCCCTGCCCATGGCAGGGGGGTTGGAACTGGATGATCTTAAAGTCCTTTCCAACCCAAACCATTCTATCATTCACCTCAAAAAGCCTGTCCTTTAGAGATTCCCTGGGATTCAGTGGACCTGTGGTCACTCCACCACATGTCCTCGATTGTTGGCCTTGGGAGGCCTTGAGCTGTGACAAACTGCGTGACTGATGTCCCATCACAGTACAAAACAAACATAACAGTTAATTAATACTAGTTAACGTTTACTTCCAACAGACATCATTTGCAATAACTACGCTCATTTTTAGGAACTGAATGTTCAGGAGCTACATGGCTGCTTGTGGCAACACAAAGGTCCACAGGAGAGGCTTGAGCACCAGCACACTCACCCCTGGTGCTCCAAGGAACCACCAGCTCCCTTGGGGTAAATTCCTAAAGAACCCCCATGCTCCTGGTTTACTCTGCTGCGGAGGCAGCAGCACAGAGAACCCATCCCAGCAGACAGGGCTGGAGCTCAGGTGGGGCTCTACCTGCACCCTGCCCTAGGCAGCGTTAGATGACACTTGCTATCCTGTTTCCCCCTCCGCAGCCAGTGGTGACCGAGCAGTGCCCAGCACCCCTCCATGCAGTTCCAAACAGCCACACGCTTTCCACATGGGATCCATCCATGCTTCCCAATACCCAATGCAGTTGCTTCCTGTTCCATTTATCCCCACTGCCCAGCAGCTCTCTTCCACCCCAGCATCTCATACAATCCCCCCACACACACCAGGGAGCCACCAATGGCACCAATGCAGAGCCAGGAGCCCACCCCGACCACCACCAGCATCACTCCACAGGGGCCAGTCGTGCAGTAAATCCCCCGAAGGGTTTGGGAAGGGACAAAATGACCATTATGGAATTTTACAGGCTTTTCCCTAACTCCTGGGTTTTGTCTCCGGTTTACTGCCAGTGGCTCCAATACTGCTGCAGTATCTACAGCCTGCTCCAGATTCCATACCACCAATGAGCCTTTGGGAAGGCACCATGCCATGTGCTCACCCCTGAGTCCGGGAGTCAGGGCCCTCTCCTGCCCCTGAGGAACAGACATTCACATCTCAAACAGGTTTGTTCCTTGGGCAAGAACGGGAGCTGTGATGGAGTAACGGGTTAAAACTGAAACAGGGGAAGTTTAGATTGGATATAAGGAGGAAGATCTTTACTGTGAGGGCGGAGAGGCACTGGAATGGGTTGCCCAAGGAAGTTGTGAATGTTCAATCCCTGGCGGTGTTTAAGGCCAGGCTGGACAGGGCTTGGAGCAAACTGGTCTAGTGGAAGGTGTCCCTGCCTGTGGGAGGGGGCTGGAACTGGATGATCTTGAGATCCTTTCCAACCCAAACCACTCTATGGTTCCATGATTATATGCCAGTTGACAGGAGAGGAACCCAGACCCTCAATCAAAATGAACTGATCCCACACAGGCCTACCCAAAAAGCCTTTCCTGCAGCACAAAGAGCAAAAAAGGCATTGAAGGCATTTAACTACCACTGGGCACGGTAACACCAGTACAGGGGGGATAACCTGTACTTGGAAAGCACCTTCCATCACCAGGCTGGGGAAGGGGTCAGGGCCTGCAGTGAACAATGAGGGACACTAAAGTCCCCAAACCCCTCCAGACACAGCTACAACTCCTGCATCCAGCAGAGTTCCTTCCTCCCAGTGCCAGGACTATCAGAAACGAACATCTGGAGAAGCCCAGAGGGAGAAGTCCAAATGGCTGAACCAAAACATCCCCTCCCCACAAAGTCCGTCCAGGGTGTGACAGCGGCTCTGCACCCGCTCGTCCCCACACTGGGCCCGGCTGGGTTTGGGGTTGGTTTTGGCCATTTGCTCAGGCTCTGTAATCTGGGGCCATCCAGCTGCAAAGATGATGAAAAGCAGCTGCTGTAACAGTGTCCCCCCGCCCGTGATCCCTGCGGGACCGGAGCTGGCTCTCACGTGCCGGACAGCTGGAAACTCTTACACGGATATGCCGTGAGAAAGTACTTTTCAGCCCCTCGGTTCCCCGTGCAGCACCATTCCACGGATTGCAACGGGATAAAGTTCTTCCGTCACGGGATTCATTCAGGCACAGCGGCTGTATTTCAGGGACTGTCAGCAAGGAGCACGTTGTTTAAATTACAGTCCTTCAAACCTGAGCAGATTAAAACATTCCAACCCCGAATTCACACCCCAACAGGAAGCGCATCCCCACTCAGAACCAGTACTCAGGGTACCATTAAAACTCTCCTCAATAATTAGCTCTGAAGCTAATTGTTGGGAGGGGAAAATCTATCTAATACTATTACACATGCCCCAAGGAATCCCGTTCCATCGCAAACAGATGTTACAATGCTCCTTAAACTATCCCCTGGCTGCTCCCTTGCCACACTTCCCAGGGAAATTACAGCCCTCCTAAACAAGGGACAATATTGTCCCTCAATTATTGACAGAGTTCAGAACTACATCTTCGTCCTGACCTTAGAAGCAGCTCAGGAAATCATCTGGGTGGGGAGAGGGATAAAGTTGCAGCGTTATAAATGTTTCCTGTTGTAACCATGCCTCTGAAGAGTGTCTGTGCAGAGCACTGCAAAAACATCACCAGACACCACAGTTAATGAAACTCTTCCATGCTCCCGACATCTGCCCAGCTTCTCCCCACAACTCCCCGCCTATTCCCCAAGGCCCCTCCCCAGGCACGGGTTAGGTCTCATTAGCCTCAGTTTTATTACTTCTCAACTGTTTAAGCTCTTGACATTCTGTCTGGGGTCACATGCTCCACACTGAAAAACTCCGGTGGCCAAAGAGGCACAAAGAACACAGAGACTCTCCAAAGAATCACAGAGTGGTTTGGGTTGGATCATGCAGTCCCAACCCCTGCCATGGGCAGGGACACTTCACACTAAACCATGTCACCCAAGGCTCTGTCCAGCCTTGCGATACATCTTGTAATGGGATACCAGATACAAATACCTGCCTGAACCCAACCCCAGACCCTCTTCTCCACTGACTGCACAGGAAAGAGTTCTCCAGAGGCAGAGGAGTGCACTTGGCTTGACTGGATCTGGGGAGGCCAAACAGACAGAAGGTCTGGAAGCTCACAGGTGTGTGTAGCTACAGTCATGAGCAGCACCAAAATGATCAACAACCCATTTGGAGCTCCTCTGTAGATCCTAGAAAGGCTCCTTAGGAGAAGGACCTGTCAGTGCCGTTGCAGAGGTACCACTGCTATTGCAATTAAACCCACAATATTTCATCATGGAATGGTTTGGGTTGGAAGGGACTTTAAAGCTCCTCCACAGGCAGGGACACCTTCCACTAGAGCAGGTTGCTCCAAGCCCCTGTGTCCAACCTGGCCTTGAACACTGCCAGGGATGGGGCAGCCACAGCTTCTCTGTGCACCCTGTGCCAGCGCCTCAGCACCCTCACACAGAAGTTCATCCTTTTGCCCTGCACCACTTCCAAAGTTCATCTGAATCAGGCATCATCCTTTCTGTGAGTTTCTTCACCATCAAGATGCACAATGGTAAAGATCTGTGGCTGCCAGAAATGCTGTTTGTGGTCATGGGAGGTCCTAATTATTTTCTCTGCAATGCCCAGCAGAATAGGATTTTCTCCAGATGTATGAAAACGGGATTTGAAAGCCTCAAGAGCCATGAGATGACTTCCTGCGAGCCCAAAGTTTCGTATTAAAAACACTGTTACAAAAGGAAGAAAAAGCCAAATCAGATGCGTTCAAGATCAAAACCCCTTTGCACTGAGCCAGGCTGTAGTTTTGAGATGAGAAATATATAAACCTTTTCATTTTTCCCTCCTGATAAATACCACATGAAAGATTAGCCAATAAAGTCTTTGTATTTACAGAAACAACCAAGATTCAGCTTCAACTGCTTCCCTCTAATCATCTCCCCGCATCAGTCTCCAATGGGAAAGCAGCCAAAAAAGCTCCACATATGCTCCCTGAAGGGCTGAGTCGCACCTAAAGCTCTTAAGATATGGGAAACAGTTCAGTCTGCACAGTTCCCTGAATAACAAAGTGAAATAAAGGCAAGGATTCATTGTCCCCTGGTCATAACCCCTTCAAACCTCCCTCCTCTGCTGCAGACTGGATGTGTTCAGGATAAAGCATAGATTTAAAGAGAAACCTAAATAAATGGGGCTTGTGAAAAAGCAGCTGCGGAAAATCTGCTGCTTTGTGCTTTTCCTCAAAGCCCACCCCATGTTCTGTTGGTGTTAAAGCACAAGCTGTCTCTTCAACCCTCTCTGGGTCCTAGAGATGGAAACATGAGTCACAGCTTGACCACTGCAGAGCCTCACAACGCGTTGTACTCCACACACTTGGATGGGTCTGTTGGGAAGTGCTTCTGGCAAATGGTCATGAGCCTCTTCAGCCCCTAGGAATTAACAACACAAGGACAATTCTGTGATAAACTTGCAGCTGTTAAACCAACCTCACAGACTACAGGGTTTTAAAGCTTAACAAGAAGAATTAAAAGGAAAAGGCTGCTGTTTTGGGGTTGGGATGGGGGGCTTGTTTGGTTGTTTTATTAACCTTTCTTGCGCCAAAGTCCCAAGTTATCTCCACTATGAGAGGAGATGCTATTTTCTCAAGTGATGATATTAAAGCTGAGAAGAAACTAGAAGCTGTATTTGTAACCCTAACACAAAGAGACTCAAAGTGGAAGAGGAAGTTTCTTTCTGCAAGCAATCTGCTTGCAGCCATCTGCAGAAGTCAAAGAGCAAAGAGAGTCCTTCTGCTGCAGCAGGAAGACATTTACATAAGCTTCCCCTGCCAGAAGCTTTGAGCTCCAAGATGCTGCTCTGGAGGCTTCAGAGTTAAGCCAGAAGGTCTTTATCTCAATGAAACTGCAGCTGGCAGGAGGCAAATACATGTCAAAATACAACAAGAGAAGACTTGTTTCCTCAGACCTGTACACTTACTGCACTGAAAGGTTAGAGGACAAAAACACTGCTGCTGCTAATTCCAAACTCAAAAGTTCACAATATGAGTATGAATATGCACCTGAGGAACTGAACCTGAAACTTTTGAATCCATGCTGTTGAAGGGACATGTTTGAAAAATGAAAGCATTTATCTGGTTGCAGAAATAGTCAGAACTGTGTTTCAGAGATTAAATTTAATACATTCTGTGCAGTTAAGCAGTGAAGGAACTGAGGAGCATGTCTTCACACCTACTTTGGTGTTCATGTAGGATCAAAACAATTAAGATGTAGAAAAACCCTTTAGACTCCATTCTCAGCCCAGCACTGAAGAGCCTTCAGGTCCAGGATAAGCTATTAAATTAATGTTATGCTTGACCCAACCTAAGGTCCATTTCCAGGACCTTTTTACCACATCACCTCAAAGATCCCCTAACTTCAAAAGGGAACCTGTCGGATTCCCCAAGCCAACCTTACCTGTATGTATTTCCTCTGAGTTTCATCGTTGAGAACATGGGCTACGTGCTTGGAGAAGATCTTCTCACGACCTGTTCGAGCGTGGATACCAACCATGGTGACACCAATGGGCCAGGGAGCATTTCCAATGGCCATCTGGAGATAGGCATCATTTGCCTGAAGAAACACAGTGCAGGTACTCTTAGCAAAACAGAAAGAGCATGAGAAAGCATCCACTGTATAGCTGGATACAGTAACACCTATTCCAGTCTCTCTGAATCAGGTCTCAATGCATGAATTAACCAATTTCACAACGCATCTTCCTAACACAAATCATGTTTACTCTGAAAAAGCAAGAACCATGGACCTTACCTGATGGAAGAAAGCACTGGATAAGACAGTTTAATCACCTTGATTAAAATGAAAGTTAGTAAACAGACCCCAGTAGGGACTGTTTTCAACTCGGCTTTCTCAGGTTCCCATGAGTTTTTCTTCTGCCATCACCTTTAGATTTGTTGCAGATGCAGACTAGACCAGGAAGCCTGTCTGTAAGCACAACCCAT